CTTTAGAGACATTTGTCATCTTTAAAACCATCTTTCACGGTAAAAAGTGGAAACACTGCACGCCATTCACTCACCTTATATGCACGGTAAAAAAAAATTACTTTATATCCACGGTGAAAATCTTCCCTATATCCATGGTAAAAATGGGCCCGATGCACACCACTGCTTTACCTTATATCCACGGTAAGAATTACCTTTTATCCACGGTAAAAAAAATGGGCCTAACGTACCCCACTGCTTGCCTTATATCCACGGTAGAAATTACCGTATATCCACGGTAAAATATACCCTATATCCACGGTAAAATTTACCGTGGACCGTGTGAATAGACACTGCCAAGTTTCTATTCTTTTACATAATGAACTCGAGAACCTATCAGTCATGGGGGGAGGGGGGGAAGTGCGTAGTCCAAGTGATTTATTGCCAGTTCGGCGCCGAAGAAACGCATCCTGGTAAGTTGAAAAAAATGCCAAGAAAAACGCTACAGTAATCATAGCCACCGTCAATAAAAAAAATCATAGCCACAGAAGTCATAAGACTAGCCTTCATCTTTTCTTCCTGTACGTTGCGAAATTATCCGATGAACGCGGGAGTAATAGGAACGAAGGTATCGCAAAATAAACAATCGATTCATATCTGTATACTAGTCTGACCTATCCCATCAGGGGTTGACATATCTACTTATTTAATGAAATTGATAAAGGAATTCCTTCAATTAGTGAGAGAATTCCGCTGTGTGAATTCCGCGCATATTTCATCACGGATACTGAAGGTCGTTGAGTATAAGTCGAATGGGGGGACTCATCGCTCTTTATTGTTGATGTCCCCTTAAAAGGCTTATCTTCTGAAAACTAATAGGCATACGTCAGTAGAATTTCATATCGTCAACATCACATACCCTAAGTAACTACCATAATGGCAACAAATAAAAGTTATGTCCCGTATTCACTGAACGGTGACAAAGATCAGGATGAGGTTAGTCACGTCTTCAGTTAAAATTCAATTTCAAAAATCGAATCACTTGTCATTTTTTCATAATTAATTCTCATCGATTGTCATTCTCCGGGGGTGAAAGTCATTGTAAAGGCTCGGGAGCGGCTGTAATTGCATTTTGATTTGGAGACTGAGGTTCCAAATAAGTAGGCTCCGAATAAGTAGACAAAAATCGGAGGCCAGTCGCTCGCTTCGCTCACTCTCGTGATCAAAAGTCGCTCTCGTGGAAACACGAACGGAAAAATCTGAATTATGGAGAATAGAGCCCTCTATTCTCCATGATTATCCCGAATGAAACATTAGTCAAATTTCCTCTTAGATAAATTCTTAAATTCAGTATTCATTGTGTTTAAAGTCCGATGTAGCAGTCTTTTGTTTTTTCCCCTCTGTTTGAGTCATGCCTTGGAATGTGGCATCTGACCTTCAAACAGATGCCATTCCAGAGACCATCAAAACCGAAATGCCCAAACACTCTTCACAATCCGCAAATTCTAGAGTTATTTCACCGGATAAAAAACAAAATTGCAAACGATCACTTTATTTTCCGTTCCCGTAGATAACTTCCAGATTGATCTTCACTTTACTTTCAAGAACTTATTAAGCGAAACCGACTCGATCACTAAGTATTTAAACTTGGATTTCCTAGGGAGTTCGTTGACAATTGATTAAAAATTGTTATTAATTATCTGAACCGACATCGTCTTCCCCCTTTGAAAGAATAGGAAATAGAAGAATATTAGAAGGAGAGGAAAGAAGCGAAAAAAAAGGATTAGAAGAAGGAATAATAAAAGAGAAGGGAATGGATTAAACGAATTGAGCGAAACAGACAAACACGTCTGTATCACTTGCTCGGCGAACTCCGTGGGTTCGAATCCCGGGCCGGTCGGGTTTTTTAACATCTGATTACAGGCGTTACAGGCTCGAAATGGTGGCCGGGCTTCGCATCTCGACTTGGGGGGGCCCACAACTTCTGACTACAGGGGTTGTGGGGGACTCGCCTAGGGTGGGTTCTGGTGTGGTGGGGCCGATCTCACCTCGGCTCTGGACGAACGGGGGAGGTTCCCCCGAGGAGGTTCATTCTATACCACTTCACTCTTTATATAACGATTGAGTACTTGAGAATTCAAATTTTTCAATACACCCAGAGAAAAAGTTTTTTTGAATTTCATATGTTACTAGGGGGCTAAGCCCCTTGCTCACTCTGTTCGCCAACCCCCATGATCCTTATTTGGACCCTTAATCTGAACCTTGTGACCCTTAATTTGATCCTTCTGACACTTATTTAGATCCTTAATCTGACCCATATTACCCTTTTTTGTTCCCTTAATCAGAACCCTTGTGACCCTTAAACTGCGACCCTTAATCTGACCCTTGTAACCCTTATTCTAACCCTTAATCTGACTCTCGTAACACATTGTCAACACTAACACATTGTCAACAGGGTGAGGGGTAAGAGACAAAATAGCGTTCATACATTCCATGTGTAAGCAGAAATTTAATTGATGAATTAAAAACGAACGAAATGATAAAACTACTCAGAGTTTTTTTTACAATTTTCTTTTTCCCATTCTTGATTATTCTGACATTCAGTTTGTTAGCACATTGTCGTTTTGTAGCGAAAATTACTGAGGAGACTAACGATTAATATAGTAGCGAAAAATAATTTTTTCACAAAAAGAATGTCATGACATTTTGCTCGCAAGTCACCAGTTTTTGTGATAATTGAAAAAACATCATCTCCAAGTGTTGACTAAAATGAAAGACGAACAATGATTCCAGAAACTTCTCCAACCAATCGCATACTTTCAACAAGCAGCGGGTGGGCACCCACGTGAAAAACTGACGCTTGCTATGAACTATTGGTTAAAAATTCCGATTGAAAAGCTCCAGGCTATCAGTGATATAATGAAAATAATGCACCATTGCAGTTTACTGTGAGTAAACACAAGTACAGGGGATGTTCATACAGCTCAGCCTCGTACTCTTGATTTCTCAACCCCAAAGTCTCAACTTACACTTTTCCCAGAATTCCTCCCTTCACCAGAATTTTCCGAACACTGAGAAAGCCGTGATAAATTCGGTGAGAATGAGGAGAGAAATTTCTTTGCAGAATAGACGATATTCAAGACAACGCGACCCTACGTGGAGGAATTCCAACTGCTCACATGATCTACGGTCTTCCTAGTACAATTAATACGGCTGGTTATGCTTTATTCATGACAATCGAGAGAGTACTAGCTCTTAATCATCCTAAGGTATATTGAAGGTTCTTGTGAGATATCGAAACAGGGACACAATAGGGTTTTCATTATTTTTGTTCGCAGGCAATTCAAGTGTATGTAGAAGAATTGCTAGAATTGTGGAGAGGACAGGGGATCGATATTTACTGGCGCGACAACTACATATGTCCGTCTGAGGCTGAGTACAGACTAATGGCGATACAAAGTAATTATAAAATCTAGTTGACGCAGGAAAAGTTGAAGGACTAATGATAAAATGACAAAGGAATTTCAAATGTTGTAAATATCATTTCAGTTATGCTCATTGTTTATGAATTTTTCCCCATTCTTCAGATACGATTCGATTGAAATATTTGATGATTGAAAATCTCAATACAAAACTGTAAATAGTACTTGGATCCCATTTAGGGTTCCGTAACATTTCATCAGCGGACGAAATTTCTGCAACAAAATAGTCGACAATTTATCCGTTGACAATTTTCCCGTTGGCAATTTCTCCACATTTATTACTCCCGAGGAACAAAATATCCGTTGTCAAATTTTCCAGTTCTTTTTTTTTCAAATGTCATCACCTTCTGAAGCAATATAAAGTGCAAAAAAGAAAAAAAATGGAACTCAGAATTCATAGATCACATTTAAGCCCTCACGGACGGGGCCCTTTTGTTTCCAAGCGTGGAGTACGCTCGATACAAGTAAAATGTAATCACTTCTAATCAACGGAAAATTATGAAACCGATATGTAATTGAAGCTACAGTATTCCGTTTTTCATTGTTATTTATTTGGTTGAGTTAAATTCCATAGTTTTGGAAATAATCAATTTTAAAGAGAGTCATTCATATTTTCATGACCCGTACGTGAGGGGTTAACCCTCGATCACTCGCTCAATGAGCGCGGCGCCGCCCGTTTTGTTTTTTTTTTATGTTAGCGTCTTTCTCAACGCTTAAAAATTCTGAAAATATTAGAGTTCCTAATTCAATCCTTTTATTGAGCATTGGCGTTGTTAATCTACAAGTTTCAATTCGATAACGCACAAAACACATTTCACATAAAATTGCAATGCTTCCGCCTCTTCAATAATCAAATTTCCCTCGATTCATAAAAGCACGTTATTGCCATTAATTTATAGAGGAGGGTCGGCCAAAATAGGACGTATTGAGATCTTTGTCAATTGTCAATGTCTTCATTTATAAGTGGCGATATTGACAACTAGAGAAGATCACGAAATGTCCCATTTTGTCCGACTCTCCCCTACATTATACCATTTACTTATATACATTCAAAGCTTACGCCTTTTGTCGGTGTTGACGCATTTACTTGCATGAAGTAAATGCGTCACGCCGACGAAATAGTCCGTAAGCTAGGGGGGTTTTTGCACACATTTTAGGTCGCGATGATTTTTTCATTGGATTCTATGTTTTTCAACCTGCTGAATCCTAATATGAAGGTCGCGGACCTCCATATTCAGATTCAGCAGGTCGGATAACATAGAATCCAATGAAAAAATCATCGCGACCTAAAATGTGTGCAAAAACCCCCCAAAAGCTTACGGACTAAAAGCAAATTTCGTGTGAGGTAACGCGACTATCGTTAATAATATAAATGGAGATAAATTGTGAATTAGTGAGTTTACATCGACCCGAAAGGGATGAGGGGGTCATCGAGAACCCTAGCTGGCCATTGTTTATCATCCGAAGTGGTAAACACATGAAATATTAGATAATTTATTGGATATAATGTGCCAAGGATAAATTGTGCAGCAGATCAGATGTCAACAATACGATTGACGCTGGAAAAATTGTCTTCGGTTTTTTTTGAGAATTTTATTACGCAAATTTTGTGCGCGGATCAAAACGCGTGTTACTCCGTTTTATCATTTTCTTATTGAACTGCCAATTCATCTTTCCGGATTGATCAAAAAAATGTTCGCTTCCTTGTAGAACTTGGAGCTTTATTCAAACTGGATGCCTGCCTGAAGCAAGTATTTTCAGACTGCAAGAAAGATTTTTCCACGCTCAGTGAACTTCTGGGAGTCTATTTTCAGATCAGAGATGACTACTGTAGTCTCTGCATGCAGGAGGTAAAACTGAAGATGATTTAGACGAAAATGGTAGATATTTTTAGATTTCATCTATTGGAGCCAGGGATCCCTATCAATATTAAATTTCTGTAATATTACACAAATTTGACCCTTACATTATTGAAGGTTTAAAATATGTTGATTCAATTTTTCCAATAATATAATCTTAATAATCTGATTTTTTACGAATAATGAAATATTAATAATTTGTTAATATGCAACTGTAAATTTACTACTAAGTGAATAATTCAAATTTTAGAAAGGGGGATTTTCGATTACACAAGTAATCGTCAATCTTCCTACCTTAAATTATTGATTGATAAAATAGTTAAAAATTTGAATATTTGAATTGATGATATTTAATGACTCAAAAAATTACAAGGTTGATGTTTTTCAATTTAAGGGCTCAAAAGTAATTGTAATAAAATATTACAAATTTGGCTATCCCTGATGGGAGCATTGATCCAGTAATTCAACGTAATTAACATTGTTATCCCAGTTAGCATTCAGAATTTCGCATTTTTCTCGAGTTGAAAAATTATTGAAGACGTTGATATTCATTAAGAATATTGAAACCAAAAATTTCTATATTGAGCTTGTTTTATTTGAAAAAATCACATTCCCAAAAAAAATAGATTGTGAACGATTTCCATTAAAATCTATTCAGACCAATTTTTCTCATCGACGTCAATTGAGAATCTCTTCCTCGTATTTTCATTTTTTTCACTTTTTTTCGTTCAAACTTCACTTTTTTTCACCAAACGGAACGAAATACTATGTGCGCCACCGGAGGTTAAGAGGTCATCCTGATCTGCTTGCTCCATCGCTGCACAATATGTCATTTCAAAAACTCATGTAGAAAATAAATCATCTCATTCCTGTTCCCTCACAAATTTATTAATTGTGTTTCTCTAGTATCACGACAAGAAGAGCTACTGCGAAGATTTCACAGAAGGAAAATTCAGTTTTCCGATAATCTACGCTATTCAGAGTAAACCAGAGGGCAAAGAAATCATGAGTATCCTTTTACCAAGAAATAGTATATTTCGTAACGAGTGCAAAAAAGTGTTTTTTGGCGAGTGATATAATCCCACGAGCTATAAAACTCGTGGGATTACTCGTCGCCTTCGGCTCGTGATATAAACCTCCCACTCGCCAAAAAACACTTTTTTGCACTCGTTACGAACAATATTTTTCATCACAATGTGGCGGAAATTGGACTTTTAGGCACGCAGAGCGTGCCAAAAAGTTCACTTTTCGTCACAGCGTAATGAACTAGTATTTTTCCGGCCTGTTGCGATGGGGTTTTTTACTCGTGTGGCGTTGGCCTCCGAGCCGTAGGCGAGGACTGGCCAACCACACGAGTAAAAAAACCCCATTGCAACAGCCCAGGAACAATATTTTTCTGTAGTGATTTTCAAGTTTTCGAGTTTGGGAAGTATGTAATACCAATTCCCAGACGAGAAATCGCGAGAAGCAGTACAGAAATAGTATATTGTGTTACTAGTACGTAGAGTTCCGCTTTTTTGGACGCCCGTGTAACACATCCTATTTTTTGTGATACCTGCCGAGTTCACTGTTCGGAAAGATAGTGGAGGTAAAGTGGCTGTTTTTTTACACACAAGCGTGAAGTTCAAGAGCGTGCGTAAAGTAAATTTCGAGTGCGTAAAGCGAAGCACGAGAAGTCACTCCAAGCACGCTCGGGAGCTTCACACACGCCGTGCCGAAAAGTGCACTTTTGAGGCAGGTATCGCAAAAGTAATCAATTTAAATGATGCTTCTTCAAAAAAAAAAGATGTTTCTAATCTCCAAATTGACCCTTAATGATTAATGATAGACATACTGTCGCAAAGAACAAAAGACCCGAAGGTGAAGAAAAATGGCATAACACTTCTCGAAAAATGTGGCGCATTCGCATACACGAGAACTACCCTCGAGGAGTTAAACAGAAAAATTCGTGACGAGGTGGAGAAATTGGGTGGAAATCCGCTGTTAATTGAAGTACTTGATGATTCACTCGATTGGCAAGAGTTGAAATGTTGCGGGCAGTAGGATACGATGAATCAGCCTGCACGCCGCTGTGCCGAGGATCAACCGCAACCCGATCAAGTTTTATATTTGTGTTGCTTCGTTTATTCATTTATTTTCAATATTTAAATTTTATTTGTCGATGTTGAGTGCTGTTGGTTGGAAAAAATTTGTCCCCGAGTATGAATTGCTATATATATTTGTTAATTCAATATTTTTTATGGATATGTGTACTACCGCATGCAACCTCTCACTTGTGTATTTTTATACAACGATGTTCTCCTAATTTGTAGGTATCAACATTTTACATTTAATTAGACTAGCGCTGTACATCTTGACTTGTTTTAGTGCATACGCTCACCGTGGTTTTATCCCAAAAATGAGGTCTACGGCAAAACTCATGTTGATTTAGACTACTTCAGGGTCGTAGAACACGAATATCTCGGTTATTTTTCCGTGCGAGTTGTCTGCCATTGTTATAAACAATTTAATTGTTTAAACGCTAATAACTCTCAAGTTATGGGAGCTACAGAAAAGAAGTTCTTACAAAATTTGTTTGTCTTCTCAAGACGAACAAAATGATTTTTATTTTTCTCGTTAGCTTTATTTTTAACGGAGTTATGATTAATTAAACGTTTGAGGAGCACCGCGTAGGATCGTGCGCCGTGCGAGGTGTGACGCGCACACGTTGTCTTATGGTTAGGCCCTTAATAAATACGAAGAACTGTTCCTCCTCAATTTTATTTTTATTCATTAAAAAGATTCTGACATATTCCATTGACTTGATATTTACAAAATGCAATGTAAGGTTTCTCTGCCCTTGCGCAATGGCAACTTCCTCGTTTACATTTTGCATCAGTGCAATCGGAGACTAAATCACTTATCGATGGATAAAGTTCTGTCAGTTTTCGGACTCCAACATAGAATCATAGAATCAAAACATAACAGCAATAGGTGTATGCAGTCGACGGCAACAAATAACAACATAACACCGCTAACGTCGGCCCGGGCAGGACGAGCGTAGCCGCTCGCATGACTTCCCCAGCCAAGGGCACGTCTCTTATCATAACTCTGCCAAAAATGAAGCCATCGAGAAAAATAAAGGACGATTTTGTTCATCTTGAGAAGGCAAACAAATTTTGTAGGAACTTTTTTTCCGTAGCTCCCATAACTTGAGAGTTATTAGCGTTTAAACAATTAAATTGTTTATAACAATGGCAAAGAAATCTCTTACGGAAAAATAACCGTGATATTCGTGTTCTACGACCCCGAATTAGTCTAAATTAACATAGTTTTCCCGTAGACCTCATTTTCGGGATAAAACCACGGTGGGCGTATGGACTATTTATAAAATTAAAAATTTAACGAATTTGAAGGACACAGCATAAATTGTAAGTTTCTAATCGTCAGTTTAGTTGTAAATTGTCGTTTTCTAGTTGTAGTGTCATTTTCTTTCGATTTACCTCTCAATTCGTAGTTTTGCCTGATGCTAAGATAACATCTGCAAGACTTTTCGCTGAATATAATGAAATTGAAAAATTCATGATAATCTTCTGTGTTCATTCTGTTTTCAGTCTACTAGAGCTGCGGGACACCCTCGATTTTCAGACATGTACAGACCACTCGCGTTCTAATGCGTAATTCGTATTTCAAACAATAAAATATTATCACTAAACGTCAAGTAAACAATTTTCAATTAATGTTAGGCATTGGAATGATTTATTATTAACAATTAAATTGTTCAAATCGCCCTAGCACCCAAATTATGAAGTATAGACGAAAATTTTCAAATTATGAATCATCTAGAATTTAATAATAAGGAATCATTTTTGTCAATTATCAATTTTACATACCTCTCGTAGATTCTGAGATATGAGCAATAAACTAGTTACGCGACCCGACACAGCGCTCTACAATAGGGGAGGGTGGGGTAAAACGGACACTTTTGACTTTTTTTGAAATATTTATGACGTGTTGAATTGTTCATGAAACGGAATAATTTTATTTTTCAATTGAAAAACAACGATTCCTTTTTGTGATGAGCTTAATTGGACAAAGCTCAATTGATAAATCTGTTTCTGACTTATGAATATTTGTAAAAAACTCAAAAGTGTACATTTTACCCTACCCTCCCTCAGGATAGTCTATAAGATTTTCAATAGGATTCCCTATCAAATTTAGGGTCATAAGGGTCAAAATCAGGGTCAAAAGAGTCATATGGAGGTCATATGAAGGTCATGTGGGAGTCATATAAGGGTTACATGGGGACATACGAGGGTCATACAGAGGTTATAGGAGGCTAATGCGGATCAAATGACCTTCATATGACCCCCATATAATCCCTATATAACCTCCATGAAACTCCTATGTGACCCCATATGACCCTGATATGATTCCCATATCATCCCCATATGACCTCCATACAATCCCCATATTACCCTTAAATAACTCTAATATATTATGACCCATATATGACCCCCATATGACACGGTTGACCCTCATTGTGACCCTTGTGCCCCTGAATTTTATAGGAAATCCTGTTGAAAATTACATATGAAATCCTATAGGAAATCCCATCCGGAAAATCCTATAGGAAATGTTTGAATTCCTATAATAGGATATGCTGTAGAAAATCCCATAGGATTTTTTCATACGTGTTATGACCGTCATAATACATCCCTATAGAGGTTCTGACAACAATTTGTTTGCAAATTATTTGTGACCATCATTTGTAGTTGGAATATTTGTGTGTCACATGACCGTCATTTTTTGGTCATACGTAGATATGCAAAATGACCGTCATTTTTTAGATCGCGTCATATGACCAAAAAATGACGGTCATGTGACGCACAAATTTTCCAATTACAAATGATTGTCACAAATCATTTGTAACCAAATTGTTGTCAAACCATCTATATAGTTGCATAATGACGGTCATAACTAATTTTCAATTTGTGACGGTCATGAATAAAATAAAATAGTTTCTATATGGATGGAAAAAAAACGTGATTTCCATTTCAAAATAGGGATTAGGCCAATGCAAAAGGAATTCAACTGAAAATTGACCGAGAAAAAAATAAAGTTTCATATATATAGATGAAAAATGACTGTCATTTTCTCTTGACAAGTTGTGACGGTCAGAGAAAGGGGAGGGGGAATTGTGACAGCCGTCATGAACGCCTCGTCAATGACCGTCACATGACCCGTCATATGACGGGTCATGTGACGCATTTGCATCTTTGAGACTACGCGTCTCAAAAATGACGGTCATTTTGCATTTCTAGTCAGTGTGTGAGTCGTACCGTCATGTGTGCATGAATCATTCGTCGAGATACATAACCTCACTCCAACAATTGAAGGCGGTGCATCACCATTGGGGAAGTGTTGAGATTGTCGAAGACAATTGCATCAGAAAATTGCATTGTTCAAGTAAAAAACGATCCAGGGCCCCCTGTGCTCCTCATCTGTATCGATAACTGCTAGTGGTTGTTGTCAAACTGGTGGAGCACGAGCCTTCGAATATTCATAAGAATATCTCCAAGTGATAAGTTCAGCCGGAACCATATTTAAGTGTATTTTACAGTGAATTGAGAAAAAATGCCGGAAGAAGATCTCTTAAAACTGACGTTAGGTAATATTCAACATGTGAAATAATATCTTTATTGTATTGTATATCTTTTTTGTTATCCTTTAGGAGAAGTCGAAGTAAAACTAACTACATAAAATCGTCATTATCTGCTGACTCCACGATACGATTCATATGAGTGAATCGTATCGTGGAGTCAGCAGATCCATTTGAGTTTCATTTTGAGGCATGAAAAATCACGATGAATATTCCACAGCAGAAAATGTAATTCATATTTAATTAATTGATTAAATTTAATTCATTCCTTCCATTCAATTAATTTCATAATTTCAATTCATAATTTTTCATAATAGAGTAGAATAATAGAGTTGAAATAAAATTGTTATACAGTTTAAGTACAATTTCTATAAATTTTTTTCAAAATTTCTCTTAGATATCAGAACTTTTGCTATTAAATCTCTTCATACTTGTATTCAAATGAAGATCGAAAATATCGTAATTCTCAAATAAAGAAATAAACATTTTCAAGAAACCTTTTATACTTTTTTTCTCCAAACCTCCCAGTTTGCAAGATACCTACGGAATAATCAGTATTGCCCCCAAAGTTTCCACATTAATCTTTCAATTATCTCGAAAAGGAGTGATTTCAGAATGAAATGTCAAGAGACCTTTGAACTTCTCAAGGAGTACAATACTCAAAACTATATATTCTTTTATATTCGTGCAGAATATTATCTTGGTTAAGACGGTCTTCTAGATAACTTTTTGATAAATTTGAGATATCTCTTTGACTATCTCCCAAAAATGAAATTTAGCACGCACATGAGTTTTTTGGATATGTAAAAGACTAGGGCCCGGTTGCAACAAGCCCTGTTATCCAAATAAACCCCAGAATAAAATTTTTCCTCGGGGTCAATTATATCGTAGGGGTCATAATTTTTCAATATTTGACCCGAAGAATAATTTTTTTTTGTCCTGTAGCCCCATTTGAATTAACACTGATTTAACCTTGGGATTAAATTTTATTTTTTGTTCCGGGATAAATTTGAGATACTCTCCCGGGTAAAATAATCCATCGAACATCCAATTTTTTTTTTCTTATCTGACGTTTTTGTTACCCGGAGCTGGTGCAACCGGGTCATAGAATTTTTTCTATAAAAAATTTTCTATCGAACATTTTTATTGAAAATAATGGAATTCGCCAGGTTTATCTATGAAATTTTTTCAAACTACATAAGGTTAAATTATATTCTAAAATCAACAATATTTTCATCAAGATCTAGACATTCCTTTACATGAATTTTCTAATTTTTTATCACTCCATTTTCTTCTCTTAACACGATCGAAGGCAAAAGCTTAGAAAGTTTGAGCCCAAAAATTTCTACAGAAAATATCATGATAGAATAAATTGTACAGAAGAATCAAATTCTATTCATCTTTTCCATGAAACATTTCTCATTGAACATTTCCATTGAAAAAAAAGCGCAAAAAAACTACGATTTTTTTTCCACCAGTATCAACGCAGCACTAGCCGGGTTTTCAATAAGAAGTCAATAGGTTTCCACTAGGGTTATCCATGTTTTTTTTTCCAACTGACTAACATTGAATTATATTTCAAGATCAACAATATTTTCATCAACAGGTGGTGGTATCTACACCTCGGAAACAACCGGCAACGACGAGACTGGAGATGGCACCGAGGAAAACCCCTTCAAAACAATCCTCCAAGCGATGCGCTCCGCCAAGAAAGAGCCCTTTCCGACAATCTTCCAAGACTCAAAGGACGACTCCACGAAGTACGAGCCCGCAGCAAAGTCCCAACTGAAGAAGATCCAGAAGATCTGGCAGCGCGACCAATACAAGAACCAAGATAAAGAGAAGAAGCTCCAGGAGAACGACGAAAAACGCTTGAAGAATCTGGAGGAGGCCAAGTCCATCGTCATTGAGGAGGACAAGTCCCTTCCGCCAGCCACACGAATAAAGATCCAATCAGGAAAGGACTTCAGGGACAAGAGAGTCAAGATCTTCGGTTGGGTCCATAGATTGAGGCGACAGGGAAAGGCTTTGATGTTTATAACCCTCAGGGATGGCACTGGTTTCCTCCAGTGTGTCCTCAATGATCAACTGTGCCAGACTTATGATGCTGTGACGTTGAACACCGAAGCCTCTGTCGAGCTATTCGGCACCTTGAGGATAGTACCTGAGGGGAAAACAGCACCTGGTGGTCATGAATTGGCTGTCGACTACTGGAAATTGATTGGGAATTCTCCTCCAGGGGGTGCTGACTCCATTCTTAATGAAGAGGCTCATCCTGACGTGCAACTGGACAAGAGACACATCATGATTCGGGGGGAGAACACCTCCAAGGTGCTCATCATGAGGTCTGTTCTGCTACAGGCATTCAGGGATCATTATTTGGCTCGAGGGTATTGTGAAGTGACACCTCCAACTCTGGTGCAGACACAGGTGGAGGGAGGATCCACTCTGTTCAAGCTGGATTATTTTGGTGAGGAGGCTTTCTTGACTCAGAGCTCGCAGCTTTATCTCGAGACGTGTATTCCTGCAATGGGGGATGTCTACTGCATTGCACAGTCGTACAGGGCTGAACAGTCCAGGACCAGGAGACATCTGGCTGAGTACAGCCATGTTGAGGCTGAGTGCCCCTTCATCAGCTTTGATGATTTGTTGGATAGGCTTGAGGATCTCGTGTGCGATGTTGTTGATAGGGTATTGAAGTCCCCTTTTGGGTACATGGTGCACGAACTCAACCCTGGGTTCCAAGCCCCCAAGAGACCTTTCAAGAGGATGAATTATACTGAGGCTATTGAGTATCTCAGGGAACATGGGATTACTAAGGAGGATGGGAGCTTTTATGAGTTTGGAGAGGTATGAGCGGAATTTAATGGCTTGTTTCGATTATTTTCATGTTTTTTTCAGATGTTCTAATGTGCAAAAAAATTTCGTAGGAAATTCTATTGGATTTTTACTGAACTTTCTATGAATTTTTGGCCGATTCCATTGAAAAATCAATGGACTTTGATTCCTCTGTATAATTTATTCTATTGAGATGGTTTCTATGAAAATACTTCGGCTCAAAGTTTTTTTGTTTGAATCTTCTTATGAAAAGAGGAGAAAATGGCGTGGTGTTCAATTGAGAAAGTTGCACAGAAAGATTAAATTATAGTGAGTGTTTTCTGTAGAATAGTTTCTTCTGGACATTGTTTGTAGGAATTCTTCAACATGAATTTTTAATCCCCAAATTTGTCAATTAATTTGCGTGCGAAAAATTTGAAACAAATCATGAATATTCAGTGTCTTTTAAATTACATTTTACAGAGAATTATTATTTTTTTAACTATTTGTTGATTCTAAATAAATAATTGAATTTGTTTAAACTTTCGAAAAACTGAATTTTTGAGGCACGAAATCGATTTCTGATAAAAATTCTGAATGTGAATAAATTTGTTACGATTCCGAACAAATGATTTTTATGGTAGAAAATTGATTGTTCATAAATTATTTATAAGAAAGGTTCGTAATTTTCACAAGTTGCAATTTTTTAATTATTTCATGAATCTTGTTCCAAAAGTAAACTGTCTAATTTTTTCCAGATTTTCAAAATGTTTCCTAAAGGTTCAATATCGATATTCAAATTTAGGCCTGCAAAGTTTCAATAATAAAATCATTGTAAAATGTCCGGAAACTTAGGGTATAATGGGGTCAAATGAAAGCTCTGATGTTGGACTACAAGAATAGAAAAGCATCTCACTGGGAAAAAAATAATCAAAGTACTTGAATATCTTTAAAAAAATGAAAAAAAAAACAGGAAATTTTATCCAAGGAATTTCTACAGGAAATATCTCAGTAGAACAATTTATACAGAAAAATCGAATGCTATTGATTTATCTTTTTTCGTACATACCATGGGTTTTTGTGGTAACGCCATAGACTCGAAGTTCTTATGAAAAGAATAGTGAATTGCTGATTAAGGTATTTCATGCGGAAAAGGTAAATAATGACATTCATCTGGAATTCATATAGAATGTTTATAATCACATTCGACTTGTCTATGAATTTTCATAGAATTTTTTCAGATTTCCTTTTCAAGTTATATAAAGATCTCCATGAGCTCTTATGGAGATTTTTGTGTTTAGCACGAAACTGCGTTACTATCTGAGCTGATAATATAGTTTCATGCTAAGCAGGAAAATCTCCATAAGAACCTATGCATAAGAAGCGACTTCAATCGTTAATAACTTGAAAAGAAAATCTGAAAAAAATCTAGGAAAATTCATAGATAATTCAATTGTGATTATAAAAATTCCATATGAATTCTACATGAATGTCACTATTTACCTTTTTCGCACGAAACACCTTAATCAGCTACAATAGTTATAGTAATTTATAAACAATGCAATCACCCACTTGTTATGGCTCTCCAGGACATTCCAGAAATGCCAGAACGAAAGATGACAGATCAAATCAACGAGCCCATCATGCTCTGTCGCTTCCCAGTGGCGATAAAATCCTTCTACATGTCTAAATGTCCAGAGGACAAACGTCTGACTGAATCTGTGGATGTTCTCCTGCCAAATGTGGGGGAAATTGTTGGAGGGTCAATGCGTATCTGGGATTATGACGAGTTGTTGGAGGGATACAAGAGGGAGGAAATCGATCCTACGGCTTATTATTGGTACACTGACCAGGTAAATCATTTAGACATCAACACAAGTATATTATTTTGTGAGGGGAAGTTGGATGGAAATTTAATTTTGTATAATTTATTTTTTGTGCATGTATGTATACATGTGTCTGACAAAGGTTTTCTTCAATTGTAGGTATTGTTGGGCCCTATTTATCGACATTAATTCAAATTTCATTCATTTAATAATTTTTCCAAAAATCGAGTGCCCCATAATAACTAAAAAAAATGTTCTGAATTCATTGAATGATGGCTTAAAAAATGTTATTGGATACCCTTTTAATCGGATTCGAAGATGAAGACGCAAGCAATAATCGTTGTTTTGATTTATATAAAAATTTGCAAAATTTTAGTATTTTTTAGAAATTGGAATTCCGAGAATATTTTGAGATATCATGCTTCAAATGAATTCATTTATAGCTAAAATATTAGTTTCAATACCGCATTTTCAAAGTGGAACGATAATCACGATAGTTATATTTGTTCATTTTATTTTTATAATGATTTTTGCAAATTTCTAATTTTCGACGAAAATATAAACACCAAAACGTGAGTAGGAAATATAGCTTCTGAAGTAAATGCCACGTAGCTAGGACGAGAATGTCAGCCCGCGAAGCAACAAAGGGGTGAGGGGAGTGATAGGAACCCAAAAAATACAGTCGGTTGTATGAAAGAAAGCGATAACAAGAATAATGATAATGCTAACACTCAGCCAAGTTGAAAATCTGACACAATTGTTTAAAAATAAATCTCATTCAATTTCATAACGTAAAATAAACAATGAATTATATGCTATAGAAAAAAATGATGTGCAAAATCACTACTCGGAAGAATATTGCTAATTTAATAGCAAAAATAACTATACCATAGGAGGGCAAGAGCAATTTCCTACTTGTTTTTTTGACATTTGTTCCATGTTTTCAGCGTAAATATGGCACATGCCCTCATGGAGGATACGGCCTAGGACTCGAGAGATTCGCCTGCTGGCTGTTGAACAGATACCACATACGTGAGACTTGTCTCTACCCACGTTTTCTGGAGCGCTGTCGTCCATAAAAGAAACATTTATCCGCTGACACCTATGAAAAAGAATTAATTAAAAAACCCACCGCTTTCTCCGCAGAAAAATTCTATTGGGATTCTATTAGAATTCTATTGAGCAACTCTATTTGTTTTTTGCACAAATTCACAGATATTTGTTTACAAAACAGTCTACAGATAGCAATTCTTTTATGTTAATTGTTCTGTTGGGACTTTTTCTATAACAAACCTTGGACGCAAATTTTCCAAGTTTTTTAAATCGGATTTCATTATAAGAAATGAATAAAAATACAATGGAGAGAACTTGGAAATTTTACGCCCAAGAATTTCTATAGGAAACTGAAAATCTATCGACTTTTTTCTATCACATTTCTCTTTACAAAAGGACATTGTTAATTGCATAATCTTGGATGGATTTGTCGCAAAAAAACAAATAGAATTTTCTAACAGAATTTTTATAGAGTTGCGAAGGAAATTCAATAGAATTTTCTGGCGAAAACGCTAGGTTTTTTTAAATAAATTTTTTTCATGCGTGGAACTCCACTTTTTCACGTACTTTTCACCATGCACTTGGGCTTCATTATTCTTTAGGTTTTTATCTTGGTAGCAACCTAATGGTAATTGCATTTGTAACCCATGCATTTAACTGCCTATAATCAATTATAGACATCAATAAATACATATGTACTGGGAAGAAAAATACCAAAATCTGATAATTTATTCTTCGTCATCATTTTTCGGCAGAATTTCGATTTATAGAATTTACAATTCTTGATCAGAGAATGTCTCAAAACCGAGTGTTATCAGCAAGGTAAGTCCTCTCACGGGTGTGACAAGAGTCCAACTTCCGAAAGAAAGACGTTTGACCGTCTTGGGACATTATCAATGACAATGCCAACAAAGTCATCGTCGTACAAAACCGTGAGAACGTTTATCTAAGCATTTTAGGAGCTAAAGCGTCTCTGAGGCCTTTCAATAACCTGCCAGTCCCCTTCTTCACGACTGTCAATAGGTAAATAGCCCTTCAGGACAATCAATCAAATAAATATATGTAGATTTTATTCCATCCTCCCTCATTAATATTCAAGAGGGGCTATCCAGAACTCACAAAACTATTTGAAAAAAATCGAAAAATGAATGCTAATACCTCAGTTGAACAATCAAAATGACGGGTTATATGGAACTCATTGAGAAATTCAGTATATTCGATGATCTATGAGGGTATTCCGATGATTCAAGCGACGGCTATCGAGAACTCCCAAAACTATTTGAAAAAAGTAAAAAAATGAATGCTAAAAACATCTCTTGATAGAACAAAGTTTTTTTTTCACCAGTAAATAAAAGTGCAGAGGATTAAATCCCCAAGACCCCCAAAGGAAAATAAATGACGCAAATCGGATTGAATTTTCATTTTCATTTTCAATAGTTACAATTTACATACAATTAATCATTAATTGGGTATTCAAGTATACAACGCGCTGCAAGCTCCCTATACCTCCATTATCCAATAAATCTCCAAAGGAATCATAAATTTCAATCGTGATTCAAGCCGATTATTTCACCCAAAAGCAAAACAACCCAAATCACTAAAATATTTCCACATAGTTCAAAAAAAAAATCCGAAGTAAATGTGTACAATACTGTGAATTGACTATTACCTACCAACGTTTTACATAATTCATTTGTGTTTAATTTCCTCAATTGCATTTATTACTTATATCTTAATAATTAACAATATATTATTATACCATACTGCACTTTTTTTCATTATTCCTCCTGTTACGTGAATTATTCGTTACTACATAATATTTATATTATATACATACACACATATATTAATTAACATGTAAATAACCTTGTATAACATCATCAACAATTTATTACCTGAATAATAGGATTGCCTTCATCAATCACTGATCAAGACCGAGTGCAGATATTCTAATGATTTATCCTCTCTTAATCGATCATTTAATTATTGTTTCGTCAACGAGTTGATGCTTTAAGCCTCACGCCTCGTTATTCCATCCCCCCGAGATTGATCTGCGTTGCAGTTATGCTTCGATTAATTCTCTACTAATTTTGTTTTTTAGTTTATCTGTTTCTTTATTAGTCTACAATTAATTGATGATATAAGCGTAATGATTGTGGTAGTTTTTTTTTGTTTGGATTGCCTGCCTGCGGCTCTCGGATTTCCGTTCATTTAATGGGGAATAAATAAAGCAAATTGGAAATTATTATAATCTATGACTGAGGGAATTATTCAGTGGTGAAGTGGTGGAATCCCATCACTTTGGATAATTATGCGGATATTTTTTAACATTTCGTAGTCAATTCAATTCTTTCAGATGATCCGAAGGTTGATAAAATATTATTTGGGGGAATTTCACTTTGTTTTATTTTTTTTTTTTTTCAATTGATTGATACCTTTTTTGTAGAGAATCTTCTGAACTTTAGAAAATTCTCTAGACATTTTTCGTTTTGAGAACAATTTTTAATTTTGAATCTCAAATCACTTGATGAAACGTAATAAATTTTAATTTTAATTTTTAAATTATTTTTGATAATTTAAATAGAAACATCGGTGGTTGTAGAGGAAAATGTCAAGATCCCCTTTTGGTAGTTGAGAAAATTTCCCGCAAAAAATGATTTTCAACATTTTCTTCTAAAACTATTCATTCCGGAGATAATTCCAATGTTATGATACCCTTTTTGTAACTGATAAAATTTTCCGCAAAAATGTCCCCTCTCATATTCTCCTAGAATGAATTATTCAGTAATAACCAAAATTCGTCATTTTCATTTTTTATCTTTAAAACAAGTAATTGAGAGATGAAATTCGTCACAAAAAATTTCACCAGACATTTTTCCCTGAAGTCCTCGTTTCGTAAATAATTCCAAACTAGGAATCTCGAATCAATCAATGAAGCCTATTCAATTCAATTTTCAATTTTTGATGATTATTCTTTATAATTTCCCCTTTTTGTAGTTGAGAAAATGTCTCTCAAAAAAATGCTTAACATTTTACCTAAACACCATTCATTCCAAAAACCACTTCAATTCCAACAAATCGAGATGTGAGGAATCCACCAGTTTCTCCACTTCAACACCGAATAGTTCTATTAAATTATCTCCACAATATTCAACTGCACGAATATGAATCAATGAGGTGATTGCTCAAGCAAGCGAATACACAATTCGGCGATGTCTTTCCAATTTTGAGGGACTGAAAATCCATACATTCACTATTTTCCTTATTTATACTTTCGTTATTTAATATTGAGACACTCAGGGGATCTAGTTACTCAAAATCGTTGGCTGCTGAGACACCGCCGAACTCACCATTCCATTATATTATATATAAATAGCACAACAATTAATTATGACAACAAACCGCAAATAATGTCCTTCAATATAAAAAAAAACTCAATACCATAGAAATTGATCAATCGAAAGACAAAATTTTGGGGAGAAATTTCCATTGCGCCATCAGACGATGGTTTTCTCTATTTTTTTCATTTAAATATTGCAGTCAACATTTGTGAATTATATGTGCACATATAGGGGACCTCTCGGTGGTACAATATATATTAATCATTCGTTTGAAGCTAGTGAACGGACAGACGTATGTCGCAACTTTCATTGAGATTTGTGTGATAAACATGAGATTTATTTGGATTAATCAATTGTAGCATTCTTGCCGATAAGAAAGCTAATTAATATATTCGATATCTCTTATGTTTTTTTTTTGGGAACGTCGACTGATTTCGCACGAGAGTGTACGATTACTCAACACACATTATTATCGTATTTCAATATGCTTTTGTACGTTTATTTATACAAAGTGATTTCAATACGAAAACGAGTCAACGTTGACATATATTATTTATCCATAATAGAAAGATTGAGAGAAAAACAAGGGGAGAAGAGTAGAAAGCTATGTCTAAGGTGAAGATTCAATGGAGAGATTGATAAAATAGGCCATTCGATTTAGCTCAAATGCGCTTGAAAGTTCGAGGAAAAATAACTCTTCTTTTATTTCTTCACAGTGATGAGGTATTAATTACTCTATTGGTTTTTATACTTGAAAAAATAATATTCTTCTAAGCAGAATGTTGAATAAAAAAAATACTCAGGCAAGAAGTGGTTAAAATTCGATGATTGACTTCTTTCATCTTCAGTTTTTGTGCGAAAATTCAGAGGAATTGACACAATTTTTGCAGATTTTTTTAATATCAATTTCTTCTATAAAGGGATCTTAACAAAAGTTCTGCTAATCCACTCCAATTCAGAGATATTCAACAAAAACTCATCAAAAAATCTAATAAAATGGGACAAATTAATTGAATTTGCACATGAGTTTTTTTGAAAATAATTAAACAATTTCAGTCGAGAAAATTAAAACTGTAGTTTATCTTGAAGTTCAATTAATTAATCTGTTTTTAACCACTTCTTTACTGAATTCTAGAGCTTGGAAAGGTAAATTCGCCTGCACTTCATCATTGAAATACTCTTAACATTTTTTTTCGCTCCTAAGAAGCTAGCGAGTAGCATTTATTATGTCGATAGGCAATGGTTACGCTCACGATTACATTCCAGAAATGTACTCTCAAAAAATTATAGGAAATTTTTCAGTTGAAATGTGTAAATTATTCGTCTACTCGACGTGGGAACATGTTGGCAGTGACGTTTGGATTCAATTAAAGGAAGAAATTGTCGTCAATATTTCTGAAAAATAATGAGAATGGAATTTCAAGCGAGGGTTTGTACGAGTACATTCGCATGGAGAGTGTGACCATTGCTCGGCGTTAATGCGTGACTTTGGTTGCGGGTCCATTACTTACTAGGATGGGAGGATCGTTCTGGGGGTTTTTACTCCGTTTTTTTTTCGGGTTTTAGTGGTGCTAGTAGAGGGTGTGGACGACGCAGTCACGTTCGGGGAGCTGACGCACCTTCATTGAGCCGTCTGCACCGCAGGAGAACAGTCTACCTGCTGAATCTACGTGCAATTGTGTCACCCCCTTGAATGGAGAATATTCGACATTAGAAGTTGGTTGACATTTGTTAATAGAGAACTTGCATGAATTTTTTTAAAATTTTCTAATCGCAAGTTTGGAATCTAAATAATTCATTTTTGATTCACAAAGGTTTGAAATATTGCTCATTAATTAATAATTAATTTTTCAATGTTGACGATTTGAAACACTTTGAAATCGCTAATGACATCATACAGACGTCGTCAGACTCGTAATCCTTATTTTGATACTTGTGACCCTTAATTTTGGAATCTTAATTTCGAGTACCAAATTGTGTCTACTAGTTTTGAAGATATTTGCGGAAAACGATTTAAACACGAATCGCTTTTTCTCAAAAACTATTAGATCGATTGGGTTGAAATTTTGCAGAGTTAGCCCTCATTAAAACCTATAATCTGACAAAATTTCAGATTTTTTGGAATTACTTTAGCCATTTAATTGCTCAATTTTCTAAAAATTGATCAGCGGGAAGTGGAAACTTCGTATTTTTGCATTTCAGACCATTCTATATCATTCCCAATCAAAATTAGAGGATGTGAAAATTTGACGATTACAATGTGGATGCATCGCGGATCCATTCGGAAGTAAAGAGTAGAAATAAATACTGAACATTTTCAAAGAGCGTTTTTAATAAATATTAGGAAATAAGTCTGACCGAGAGAAAATTTAAATGGATAATTTATCAAAAATTCACTACTCGTCTCGCACTTTTTGCCCCAATGTCGAGTCAAGAAGACCTAGAAATGGATTCCGATCCACGATTACTTGACTTGTTTGGCGATTTTTCTCCAATTTTTTCACCGTATATTGATCCTTTTTCATAAAATATTGATTGAAATTTTCAATAGAAATTGGCGTAAAAAACTAATAAAATTTTTCATAAAATATAAATAGAATTCTCATCGAATTACAATACAATTATCGAAAAATTACTATGGGAATTTCATAGAATTTCTTGGACACAGGCTCTAGCTTTTCCAGAAAAAATAATGGCAAAATTGTGGAATACTCACTTGACCGATGTTCTTGAAGAAACTCGATCTCGGATGCTCCCCAGGGAAGGAATACAACAGAGAATGGACAGTAAGACCCCAAACCTGGATAAAACAAAATAAAAAATCGATCATCGATGCATGAAGTAACATTTCATAATCACAAGTATAACGTATTTGGGTGATTATTTTTTCTATCAGTCTGACGCATGAAAGACTTCGTAAAAATTCGGTTGTAATAATTAAGGTGTTTTGTGTAAAAAGTCAAAATAATGAGCAGAAATTGAAACATTCATGCACTGTTAAAAATTTTTGTCTGAAATTTCCGGTACACTTTTTGGAAGTTTTTATCGAATTTAATTACCATTGAAATTACGAGGAATTTCGTCATTAAAAATTCAGAATTTCGTGGAAAAATTCAAAAGAACTGGAAATTTCCATTCCATTTTTCCCTGAAAATGAATAGAAAACCAGAAAATTTCGTTAAATATATTCTTGAATTTTTACGAGAGTGACATTGAATGCGATTTAGGGGGAAAAAACCTGAAATTTCATATTTCACTGAAAATTCAATATAATAAGTATAACGCATTTGGGTGATCATTTTTTCTACCAGTCTGACGCATGAAAGACTTCGTAAAAATTCGGTTGTAATAATTAAGGTGTTTTGTGTAAAAAGTCAAAATAATGAGCAGAAATTGAACCATTCATGCACTGTTAAAAATTTTTGTCTGAAATTTCCGGTACACTTTTTGGAAGTTTTTATCGAATTTAATTACCATTGAAATTACGAGGAATTTCATCATTAAAAATTCAGAATTTCGTGGAAAAATTCAAAAGAACTGTAAATTTCCATTCCATTTTTCCCTGAAAATGAATAGAAAACCAGAAAATTTCGTTAAATATATTCTTGAATTTGTACGAGAGTGACATTGAATGCGATTTAGGGGGAAAAAAATCCTGAAATTTCACATTTCACTGAAAATTCAATGTAATTCGATACTGAAGATTCATATTAGATTGGAAATTCAAATAAATAAAGGAATTCTCGTATTTATGTCCCTTAAAATTCTGGAATTTTACTCAATTCTCAGTGGACCCTAAAATTTCATTATTTTTTCCTCCTAGTTCCCCCTTCAGTTTCACTGTTCTGGCAATTGGTAGTCAACTGTCCATGAAATTTCATTGTTTTTCTAACAGTGTGTGAGAAATATCTGAGGTTGCTGCATCATTGGAATTTTTTTCATAATTCATACGTCATTTCATATTTCACCCCGCGGAGAAAAACAGACGAAACATTTTAAATCTCAGGTCTCACCTTGATATCACCATCACCAGCTCCACTGACGAAGAACTCCTCGTGAGGATCAAGCGCCAAGCACTTGATAGCCGACTCATGAGCCTGGAACCTGTGCCTCTGCTGTCTCTGCCTCACATCAAAGATATTAATATCCCCCTTCTTCCCTCCACTGATCAACAACTGATGCTGTGGAGCCAGAATAACCGAGCTCGCCCCCTGATCGTGACACGTAAATCCCTGAACGAGAGATTTATTCTGGGGCAGAAGAGTGTCCCAGAGGGCGACATTTCGACCCTCGGAACCGTGACCAGCTGTCGCCACAAGACTGCAGGCACCCAAGAACACAAAGTCCGCGGTGACCTTGCTGTGGCATTGATAATTGAAGAAGGGCCTGGCTGTACCCTCTCTGCAGGCGACTTGGAAAAGCGACAGATGGCCGTCGGAGTCGGCTACACCGAATTTATTCCCGTGCTGGGCGAAACGGACTCGAGTGACTTTTGCAAAAGTTCCTGGGGGACGAGGGGTTGCCACTGCTGTCTGGTGGCCCCACTCCCAGAGAGAGACTGAGCCGTCTTGAGATCCAGTTAAGTCTGGAACACAATTTAAAAATAGATTTTTGTATTTTATTTTGAAATCGAAGAACAGAGAGCAAACAGTTTGGTTTTAGTCTGCAACAGCGGCCACAAATATTTGTCATGTTTGGAATTATTTTCAATAATTTCTCATTTTATCCCGATAGCGGAGAATTGAATCTAACCAATTCAATGTTTAATTGAATTCGTTACCTAAAGTTTTCCTGTTATCACGTATTATAATTTAATTTTTATTTTTAAACTGACTAGCGAAGCGGTAAAACGGTTTACGTCGATTGACTATTCCCTGGTAAAACAGTCCGATTATTTCCGGCTGGGTGATAAAAAATGAAGAGAGAAAATTATGGGAATTAATAGGATCAAAGGTCCGTGGCCGTTATCGTCCGATTACTTTCCAAAAAAGTGATTGATAAATCCCATATTGCTCATATAAATATTTAATATTTATTGCTCATTTAAATATTTACATGCGTAATATGAGATCTATCAACCACTTTTTTGGAAAGTAATCGGACGATAACGGCCACATACCCTTGTTCCCATTAATTCTCATAATTTTCTCAAAATCCAAACTCTACCTACCAGCCAATCGGAATGTAACGGGCAAAGACAAAAATATCATTGACGCCGATTCATTTTTTATCACCCGCTCGGAAATAATCGGACTATTTTACCAGGGTTGGCCAGTCTCCAATGAATATCTCAGAATGTAAGGGTTTGTAGTTGATAAAATTCTTCAGAAAAAATTCCATTGACATATTCTCCTAAAACTGTTTATTTCAGAGATCATTTTCCTTCAATAAGACGGGATATGAAAAATCCAATCTCTTCACCAATTCAATATAGAATAATTCTATTAAATCATCTCCAGAATATTGAACTGCAGGGATACAAATTAATGAGGTGATTGCTGAAGCAAGAATTTTGAGGGACTGAAAATCTATACATTCACTATTTTTCTTATTTATACTTTCGTTTATTAATATTGAGACACTCAGGGGATTTAGTTACTCAAAATCGTTTGCTGCAGAGACATCGCCAAATTCACCATCCCGTTATATCTAAATAGCATAACAATTAATCATCACAACAAACCGTAAATAATGTCCTTCAATGTAAAAAAAATCGATTTCATAAAAATTAATCAAACATAATAAAGCTGAAATTTAGGGAAGAAATTCCCATTGCGCCATCAGATGATGTTTTTCTCTATTTTTTGTTTTAAATATTGCAGTCAACATACAGGCGATAGACAGGGGCCAAACGTATGTCGTAACTTTCATTGAGATTTGTATGATGAAAACGAAATTTATTTGGATTAAAATCAATTGTGGCATTCTTGTTGCTGGGAAAGCTAATTAATATATTCGATATCTTTTTTTTTCAACGTCGGCTGATTTCTTACGAGAATGTATATTTTCTCAATACACATTATAATCGTATTCCAATTCGTATTTTTGATACAAAAAACTAACGGTGAAGCATGAAAAAAATTAACTTACACAAAGGTAGAAGTGGATGCGCAGATACTCTCCTAATGCCATCGATTTTATGTTTCAGGATCTGCTCAGAAAAATAAACAGCATCATTATTATCAATCAGCCACTCAAATGCATAATAACGCTAAACATTTATAATTTTAAACTTGAAAAAATAAACGGGAATGTAACAGGTAACTCGACCAAATACGAAATTGACGTGTCAATGGTACGAATGTTCGAATATAATTTGTGATTAATGACCACTCATTGAGCTCATGCTTAATGATAAAAATATTTCGCCATTGGAAATTCAACAGATTCCATCGAGAACGAGACAGTTATCCACGGAAATATGATATCAGCTATGAGCGACTTTTTATCTAGCAGAATGACCCATAGAGCATGCAAAATCAGACTGTAGCACAGAAATTATAAAACCAAACATTCATGCTGAAGGACTATATTACAAAAGGCAGAAATCAACATTAATCAAGCTATTGTATTTTATTCATTATTTACTGTACATGTGAATGTGTAGCGGTATGAAATTGCTATGAATTGTTCTCATTTAAGTTTGAACTTCACAAATCAATAAAAGATCAGTTTCATGCCCGATTAATTGACTCTGAGGCATTAGAATAATTCCATTCATTTATTGATTGGCTTAATGACGATAGAAAGGCAGAAGTTTTGTCAATTTTTGTTGACTCATGCCTTTCTATTCTGATAAGAATAAGAGGAAATTAATTGATTAATTATTTTTCAGTATTTAATAATGCGTTCATGAATTGCTTTGCGAATATCTTCGAAACGACGAGCCTGAAAGAAAAATGTCGGAAGGAATTTTTTGTAGAGAATTCTATTACCTACAAAAAATGTCTTTTCACATTTTTCTCTGAGCCCATTAGTTTTCGAGATAATTGGGAAAATTAGAGGAAATTATTTTTTTCAATCTTCAATTTGGAAATTGTTGGTTGTTGAGTTATTTTGGTTTCTAATGCAGTTTAAAAAAGTCTATAGACATTTTTTTCGAGAATTCCACTATTTATAAAAATGTATCTCAATATTTTTTTCTGAAAATTAATTAGTTCCGGTGAAAATTGAGAAAAACAAGGGAAAATTCCCCTATTTTGTATTTTCAAAGTTTCACTCCGGAATTATCAATTATTAAATTATCTCAATACTGAATGAAACTAGAAAAAACTATCAAGAGACCTTTTTTGTAGAAAACTTCATAATCTGCAAAATCGAGAGATATTAGCAAGACAATTTCCAACGATTTATTTTCATCAAAAATAAAACGTTCAGAGTCAATTAATCGAATGACTGAGTCTTCATTTCAATTAAAATTAATAAATAAAGGAGTGATAACGAATAATTAATGATTATCAAAAATATTTCTAAGGTTTTTTATCTTCATTTTCTTGTTTATCAATTTTTTTTTGTTTCGTTAGATTGTTAGTCTCACCGGCTTCAACAAGTGTTTACTCCTATCAGCGACAAACTGACAGAAGCGCAGGTCGTGGGAGCCAGGAAAAGCGGGCATCCCCTTCATCTGTACGAGCGCGTGAGCCATCAGGTCAGTGACGCAGACCAAGTTATGGATGTTAGGCAAGCATTGAACAAGCAACATTGTCTCCGTCACCACTTGTGCGTTACCCCCAAACACATTTATTTAAAGTAATTAAAAAAAAAATCAACACTGTTAGAAATTTCGAATATTTTTTTTAATTACCCAGGGAAGATCTACTTTTTCTTTTAAAAAAAAATGATGTTTAGAAATCCAAAATGAGTAATGAAAATGATTTTGCGAAAAGGAAAAAAATAATGTGGGATTTTTGTTCAAATTTATGTCATTTTTGACAAAAAATAAATAAATAAATCAATAAAGTGGGAATAATTATCATTTTTAACAGTGTTTCCCTACCTAATACTTCATAAACTTTGACGTAATTACCTCCTTTCGTTAAAATAAAACAGATATTTGAAATAATAAAAAAATTGACTTTGAAACGAATTTGATAAAGCAGAACAAATTAAGGAATTTTTGTTCAAGTTTACTTTGTTCTGATGGGAATTTCCCCTATCTAACACTCCTCAAATTTCGATGTAATTACCTCCTTTTGTAATGATAAAACACATATTGAAAGTAATAAAAAAAAATTTACATTGAAAATAATTTGATAGAGGGGAAAAAAATATGGAATTTTTGTCCAAGTTTATTTTGTTCTGATTGAAATTTTAATAAGAAATAAATAAAATTCAATTTCTAACAGTGTTTCCCTACCTAACACTCCTCAAACTTCGCCATGACTACCTTCTTTAATAATGACAGACTTCTAACCAACAGAAGAAAACAATTAAAATACCCCAGGATTTGAAAAACCTCCCGAATGTTCAAGCAACTCGCCAGAGATAAATGAATATTAATTTTTACAAGATTGTTACTCTTCATTAATCTCATACCCGTTGCAATACACATGATCTTGATTAAAAAACGTTAAATTAAAATGGAGTTAGTAGAGAAAGAGAGAGAGAGAGAGAGAGAGAGAGAGAGAGAGAGAGAGAGAGAGAGAGAAAGATCGTCAATTAGAAGAGACACGGAAAAAAATAAAGTGCACTGAATTCTGTCCTGAATTTCATGATTTTTCTTATTTTAATAATGAAAAGTTTTAGAGAAATGCAGCAAGAGACTTTCGTAAAGAATTTCATGGGCAAAAATATCTCTTGATAGTTTGAATTTATTGAAGCAAAATAAATGGGAAAAAAAATATAGTAAATAAAGAATAAATAAATTTACTTGAAACATTTTATCAATTCAGTACAGAATTATTGTCCCCTAACAATGACAGATTTTTTTCTCTGATGGGGAATAGTGATTCTAATGCATCGTTTACTTCACTTTTTTCCGTGTGATGTCACATATTAGTCAGTGTAATTAGTGCTGTTAATGATTGAGACAAATAACGTCACTGAGAGGTGCTCATTTGTCGATTCAAATAAATTGATAGATATGGTGTGATGGGTCTAAACAGAAATTTAAAGCCACTATGGATTACAGTTATTAATTATAATTACTCTGTATTACTCCTACGGGTTTTTTTCGACGATAAATACAGAGTATTGAAAATACAGATAGATTTTGAAAAAATCGGAATGATTTATCAATTGAGAATTTTTCTTTCTCGAATTCAATATTGAGAATATCTTCGCGTTGGGCTTATTCACATCGTGTAAAGCGTTTATCCACGAGTCGCCGAAAATGTGAGTAGTGACGGACAAAATTTCTCATATAAATGTTCTCAGACAATGATTATGATTATTAATGTTTAAGGGATAAATGAGATGACTTACGACACTTGCACCACGTCCACTTTGACTCGCTATTCCGGATTGGGGTTGAGGGCTGTTTGATTGGGGACTCTGGGCCAATAGTGGTCTATCAGCTGCGGTCTGAAGTAAAAAAGAACAAGACAATTTTTTACATTGTTTTTAATTTTGCCTTCCGATGGAAGAAATTGTATTCGTCAAATTCGAAATTTCTATTTTTTGTGTCGGGATAACTAATTTTGGCCTCAGGAGTTGGAATATGGAGATTGGCTATTTTTAGACCATGTCTGGATATATGGATATATGTATTTGATCGATTGATCGTATGTGATCGATTTTTCGACTATAACTGAAGAAACAATTGTTTAAATGAATCCAATGTGATTTAACCCTAGACTGGTCACCATGCGAGGGAATTGCCGCAACACGTCGTTTTATTCACCTTGCCATCGACTGGTTGACCGGAAAAATTTGAGAAAAATTAAATTCGTCAATTGAAGTATTTGGAAAATTCTAGTATTTTTTTTTTCAATATTGTATCCTCAATTCTGGGAGAAAAAAAATTATTTCCAACAGGTGAACAATTTTTTCCCGTGTTAAATGAAATTGGCTGTTGCGCGACGTTGCTGGGAACTCGTTAAACGCGCCCGGGAAGTGTAGAGTGGATTCGGCAACGCTGGAGCCTAAATAACACGGCGGCACTCTCCCGCGAAGGTGACTAAAGTCGCATTTTCCCGTCAGGTGACCAGACTAGAGTTAAAATAGTCTTCCTAATGGCATCTTGAGCGAGTTCAATCATGGGATTGATTGCATCATCTATTGAAACTATTCATTTTGACACCAGTATTCAGGAAAAGGCAAAAAAATTTAACGTTGGGGCAATGTTGGTTGCCAACATTAAGGTAATGTTGGTTGCCAATGAACAATTGAATTCAATTTAAGCCGCGAGTGGTCGCGCTATGAGCAAAGCGCAGTCCTTTTCATTTGTTTCATGATAACTGCGACTGCGAAGATATCGATAATCACGAAATGCCAATTTAGGAGTTCCGCAAATAATCTGTCTTCGTGGCATTAAATCTGGTTTTATTGTTTTGTGGCGACCAAATCTTTTTGTATTAATTTTTCAATGAAGTGCGATCAGAGCAAAACGGCGCCGCGCTCGTTGCGCGACCAGAGTCGTAGTAGAAATTTGACGAGCGACGTTGCCGGCCCTCGTGCTATCCCAGCTGACAGATTGAGAATCGTTCTGGCAACGTTGCGCTCGAAAATACAGGGACTGTGTAGCGCTTAGCGCGCGACCACTCGAGGGTTAGATACCATCATCATAGAAATTCCATTCGGAAGAAAATTGCCAATTTATCAGAAAAAATATATTGACTACGTTGTGGCGAAAGTAATTTCACACTTGTTTATTTTTATTCGCAAAGGAAAGTGATTACTGTAATAATGTATTTCCCCCTAATTATATTTCCATTTTCAATTTGTTCATGAAGATTTTTCATTTATCTATGACTATATCAATTTGTAATTGCGATTGGATTGAAAGTTTGTTATTGATAATGAAAATAACAAATTATAATTTAACTAGTAATCAGAACGACAAACGGAGTCATTACTCCATCTATCAAGAAAACTCTTTTCTTCATAAGTTAATTGTCAACCATTTTGAAACATCATTTGATCACTAGAAGAATAATGAATGAAGTGCGAAGACGGCTTCATTGCTTCGTCAATTTTCAATCGTTAACTCGTCCAAGGACCTTCAATTAAATCCCTTTGTAATAACAATGAATAATAACATTGTTACTATCCACCAATGAATACGAAAAATATCATAAGACTCTTTTTATCTGGACCTGAATTATCTACAAAAAAAACTCCTGACATTTTCCTCAAACCCCACTGGTTTCTGAGACATTTCCGAAAATATGTGGAAAACTATATCGGATATCCTTTCACAATGTTTCATTAAATTCACTTTCTTTATTTGGAAAAATCAGAACAAAAAAACTCACCTGTATGACTAGAAAACTGGTCGGTGGTACAGGTTCCGGATCAACCTGTTTATTCAAATTAATAATATCAAACTCGCACTCATCCTCCAGCCAGCTCGGTAACTCCAGCAACAACGATATATCCATTTCCTGTACTTCCCTCGGTGTAGCGAGAGCCATCAAGCCAGGGTTAACCTGATTAAGACAGAAGGCACTAATACTATCCTGCTCCTTATGAATGATCCTAACTGGTTCAGGAAGACTAGTTGTTCCGGAATCACTTCCCTTATCCTCTCCCCTAGTATTTCCATCGACATTCGTCTGATTCTCGAGAATAGCTGACAATGACCTCCTCTTCCCAAAGACAGCACGAATGAAGATATCCTGAACAGGCTCCTGCCTAACCAAATAGGACCAGAGTCTGTTGGCAGGAGCAGCCGAAGCCAGTCTCGTGTTAAAAGGCGTATTCTCCTTCTCCAATAACGATCTGTACTTGTGAATTGCTGGTTTTCCAGGCGTTGGTGCAGGATCAGGTGCGCATCCAGGGATAAAATGAACTGGTGGTGGCCCTTTGGACTCCAATTCCTCCCTCAATGTTTCTTGCCACTGTGCAGCAATTCCCAAAGTCCCATGAATCAAGGGACTACTCACTGGCAACTCCTGCATCTCAATTCCAGCAACAGTCAGGAAATCCTGGAGCTGTTGCTGGAGTATCTTAACAATAGCTAATCTCATAATGCACCAACTGTATGACGTGGGATTTGAGTGCTCTGTGTTATCCTTTGGCTTACTCTTTGGTTTAACGTTCGTATCAAAAACATCCTCCTCGTCCTCGGATGAACCTGGCGCGAGTTGAAGACAAATTTTTGAATTGATAAACAATAGAGGAAGACTGCTTTTAGTTTATTTGTGGAGTTTTTTTGCTAGAGATCTTCGAATGGTTTCTGATTCACTTATCATTCTTCGAACGGTTTGTTCTGATTTATTGTTTACGGAGGATTGACCCTTACGAGGGTCAATTAATAGACAAGAGTTTGACCGGTTGATTTTTATGAAAATCGCTTTAACTCTAGTATTGACTATGACAGAGGAATTGACTCATTGATTCTCATTAAAATCACTTTGAACCTCTTGTTGGCCTTCTAAAGGTCAGTCTGATGTATATGAGAATTATGGGGCCATTTATGAGGGGCATGGGGCCCTCATGAGGGTTCCCCCGGCCCTTAGGAGTTCATTTTGACAGTTATGAGGATCAGTTTGAGGCATATGGATTCAAAACTTTGAAAATTTGACTTGTAGGAAAAATATAACTTTGCATCACTTTCACCCTCATGAGTATCATTTTGACTTTTATAAAGATCAAAGTGCCCCTTACATCGACCTTCATGTCTTTCAGCTCTGATGAGGATAGTCTGAATCTGATAAAGTTTGCTTTCATTCCCTTTTGGACACTTATTCTCCAACCCTCATAAAAATCACTGTGACCCTCAGAAAAATCATTTCAATTTTTAAGAGGATTGACCCTTATGAGGGTCAATCTGAAGATCATGAGGTCAAATATCTGTAAATTCCGCGAGGTTTGACGCTCACGTGTTCAACTGACCCTACTGTTGATTTGCATAAGAATCTTTTTGGCGCTTAGAAAGTTCACTTTGACCCTCATGAGGATTCCTTTGACCCTTATGGAGGTGCACTTTCTCATGTCAAATGCCGGAAAGTTCTGAGAGATTCCACCCTGATAGATTTAACTTGTTCGAACGTTCATCCGCTGAAGGGTAACTTGGACCCTCATTAAAGCCTAGTTAGACTCTTATAAGGGCCAATTTGATCTTTATTAACGTTTTGTTTGACTTTTATAAGAGTGAATTTAACCCCCCTAACGTCAAATTCATGAAAATTCAACACTTCGGGAGTAAAATTTGTGAAAGTTCCAAACGATCTGACCCTTACGTGTTCAACTGACCCGAATGTTGATTCGTATAAGAATCTTTTTGGCCGTTAGAAAATTCACTTTGAACCGTATGAGGATACCTTTGACCCTGAGGGTGAATTTTACCCTTATTACGTCAAAGGACGGAAACTTTTGAAAGATTTGACCCTGATATATTTAACTTACTCGAACATTCACCCGCTCAAGAGTCACTTTAACCCTCATTAAAGCCTACTTAACCCTCATAAGGCCCAATTTAACCCCCATAACGTCAAAATTTCTGAAAGTTGCGAACGATTTGACCCTCACATATTCAACTGATCCTCATGATAACCCTTACAAGGATGACTTCGACGTACATGACTGAATCCCTGAAGATTCAAAGCCATACAAATGAGTGTAATTTCAGCCCGTTCTTGAACCTCATAAGAGTCAAATGAGGTTTGGACCCATGAGTATCCGGCCTTTATCCTACCCTTGCATCCATCCCCCTGAACTTAAATCTAATAAAAAAATAATAAAATTTACAAACCTAAATCCGAAATAGCAGAGTCCGAAGAATCATAATCAATCTCATCGGCATATTCGCTCTCAATCCTCGGTTTCATGAGGAAATATGATACCATGCTCATCTGAGGTGATACAAATTGCTCCCGATAAGTTGGTTTATCCTCCTTGATATTGGGTTGTTGTCCAGTGAATTGTCCCAATAACTTCATATTCAACTTGACTCGTTGCTTAGTCAACGATGTCATAGTGTTCCAGACACCACCAGCCGCAGCTTGTAGCTCACCCGAGAAGCTATCAGCACGTTCAACCACAATATTAGATGGTCTACTCGATGTGCTCGCTATCCTAACTAACTTCTTAACACCACCACCGAACAGGGTGGCCCATGTATTATTGTCAAATCTGTGGCCCACAAGGCGGTAGAGGATGTGGCTGTCACAGCTGGATAGAGCGTAAACGAAGAGACTCATGAAGGTGGCGACGAAGGCCTCGCAGAGGAGAATGTTAAGCTTTGGTGTGTCCTCATCCTTTTCTCTGGCTAGAAGGGCTCGGAGGTTCGTAACCCCTGGCCATTTTGCGGGAAGGGTCGTGATTATCACCCCCTCATCAGTGGAGTAACGACGGTGGTAACGATTAGAAGCGACTAGATGACCTCCCGAGAAGGACTCGACCTCAGCCACTGCTGGAAAGCTGTCTGGCTGGTGGTGCTTCATCACGAAGGTGTCGGAGTCGCATAAGGACTGGTAAATGCAGGCGCTCAAGGCCACTGCCAAGTCACGCATTATGAAGACCTCGCAGTAATGGGTATTACGGTTGGGAGTCGGTGGAGAGTGCAGTTCCACGAGGGTCTGGAGCATATCGTGGGCCAGGGATTGCAGGTGGCGGACAGGGTCTGCTACGACTGTTTTGTTGCAGGCGACGCTGGCAGACAGGAGCGGAAGGGTGGTGGGGAAGGGAAGTGGGGAGAGGAGCTGTTGTTGGGTTTTTTCTTGTTGGAGTTCCTGAAGGAGGAGGACGAGCTCCATGCGGACGGAGGCTAGACCACCACCTGAGGCACCGTGGAGTGAACAGTAGGACAGCAGAGTGCGGAGGAGTGTCTCGTTTGCTGAAGGAAATAGACAATCGCGAAATTAGTTGCTTTCTTTACAACTTTTGATGTGATCTTATAAGGCCCCCGGACACGGACTAATGGGGAATTTGCATTGAGCTCAGTTTTCCCTAATTCCCCTATTCACCCATTCTACATAGTCCGTAGATAGTTAAACGAAAGGAATTATGGAGAAATATTGCCAAGATATTTGACAATAATTTATTAAAAAGTAGTAACGATTATTTACGATTTTCCAAAACCGACTTACTGCAGTAGAAATTTACGGGAGATTCATGGCCAAACATCTCATATTTAACAGTGTTCTGATTATTATTGATACTGATGATTTAATCATCTTGGAATGCGTTCAGTAGGTAATAGGTAGTAGCATAAAAAAAGAATTGCCAACATATTTCGATATTACGATTTTATTAGATTCAAAATACCATCACGACTGCTTAATCAATACCCAGCATTTTTCTGAATCTAATAAATTTTGACGCGCAAAAACATAATCGATCGAAATATCGTTCAACGTGTTCGCCACAGCAGATAATTATTGTTTCGTCTATATTCCGGATCACATGATGGAACAAATAGTTTTTGAAATATTCTCCATTTCCCACAAACAAACCTTTTACGTCTTGGCTAAATTCCCAATTCCTTGACTATGGATTTCGTATTATTCAAATTTCGAACTCGCATTATGTCTTCCGGATGGGCATGCGCCCATTCCTACCACTCTGCAACTTTACGTTTCAATGATTTACCGCGAGCTTGTCATTTGATTTTGGGATGACTGTACCCAAGGCAAAAAAAATTATGCAAATTCCCTACTCTGTGGCTCATAGACTAAATATTTGTTACACTAGGAGGGTGAACTGTGGAATTTAGTTTTTGGGGCGTCCGTAAGATGTCACTAATTGGGTTACCCTTGATACCGACAGTGAAATTAATTAGGAATAAACGCAGGAATGCGCGATCGCAACGTAGATGCCAGACCCATCAAGTAAATTGATGCTTGATGACTGGATGAAGTGGGAGAACGCTTAGCATTAAACGAGAGAATTTTGCTAATTGTGTTGACCAATAGTTGATACGCTATTTATGCCAGATATCATGAATCACCTTCCGTTTTGTTAATTAAAGTTTCAGAAAAAAATGTAAACAAGTTGTGTTATTTTATGTCTGTTTTTTTCTTCAAAGAAGACTATCACTCTCAAACTTATCCATGTGAAAAAACATGAATTTCAATGTGTTAAGTATATTTGTTAGTTACCTTTAAGCCACTTTTTCCGTCTGGCGGCTCTCTGCACTTTAGCTTCAAAATCTAGCTTTTCAGCGACTAAAATCTCATGCAAGGTTGGCTGTTCACCAGGTCTGTACGGAGCAACGTCGTCAACCATACCACCTTCGTCTGAAAATGCACATTGAAAAAAAAAACTCGTAACACAGAAAAAAAAATCATAACAGCACGATGAAACTCGAAGTTTTCCACCTTTTAAGGCGAAAACATCTAGCTCAGTTAATGCGAAATAACTAAAACATTATCACCAACCCTCAAATCTTCATTAGAATCATTAAGAAAAGTATAAAAAATTGAATACATCACTTACATTCGATGACATTGGTGACATCTCCATCCGAATTGACACTGTAGCTGCACAATTGCCTCAGAGCGTCAACCTCCCTCTCAAGCCAGACATAAAGCTGATACCTCAACTGGCCACCGTCCACCTCAAACCCAGTCGCTAAAGTCGACAACTCCTCCATAAGAATCTTCAAACAAGCCACAAACTTGAGCTGCTGCGCCATGATATCCAATTGCGCCACAGGCTTGATCCCCTCTCCATCCTTCTCCTCAACCTTATCACTCTGCTCCTCCCTCTTATCCATCTTCATGCTCAACGGTGGTGAGTCAATCTCTTCCGCAGGTTCATCATCATCCCAATCCAGCTTCAACTCCTCCTCCTCTTTCTTCACAGGTTGTGACCAATCTATCGCTGAACCACCCCAATCCATCCCAGAGTCTCCTTTCGCACTGTCCTTTTCAGTATCTCCTATATCCCAACTAATCATCCCGGTATCAATCTGCACATCCTTCGTCCTAGACTTGATGGGACTGTTCAGAAGACTGGGAGAATCTTCTCCATTGGTATCCATCACCTTATTTGGGAGTTTGGAAAGCACCTCGAGCGCTAGAGCTGGGCACCCAGCTTTGAAATGTGCATGAGCAGTGGTGAAATACAACTGTCTCTCCAAAGGAGTTATGCTGTCCTCCAACAACAGCTGCTTGTCAGCCTGTCCTTTTCCCTCAGTTCCGTAACTAAACCCTGATAACATGACTGAAGTCCCTTTCTTCTTATCCTGCGCAGTCGATGCTATGTATTGTCTTATCAGAAGGGGATGAGTCCTCAGGTAAACGTAGAAGTTAAAGACATTTGGATTTGCTGTCGCCCCTTCAGGCTTTTCAGACTCATCATTGTACTGTGGATGAAGACTCCCGACGTTCGTCAGCAGCAGAGTATTCAATGAACCAGAGTAATCCTTCAGGAGCCATAAAGCCATGCTTCTCAAGAATGGATCAGGATGAGCAGCATTGCTGTCAGGATTCTCTCCGTTCTCATCGCATCCCAGGATCTCCTCCCAGAGTAATCGCTTGAAGTTCGGAGACGTCATGTCATCTTCGTACAGTCTCGCTATAATCATTGCTAATTGGATGTCGTTCAGCTTATGGAGACAGATGTCGATGGCGTCCCGAAGAGCTCCAGCTAGGAGAAAGAATGCAGCAGCATGTGCAAATCTCTGTTTTCCTAATAATGCGTAAGCGTTTTTGAGAGCTGCTTTCCGCCAGCGATCCTCCGTGAAGTTGTTGGAGAAGAACGCAGTCATCCTCTCATCCCTCTTGTTTCTGAAGAGTCCCCAGACGATGTTCTTCTTCTTCATGGCTAGGTAATAGATGGCGGCGTCCAGGGGATCTTGATTCTGTTGGAAAGCGGACTTGGCGATCTTTTCGACGCAAGTCTTTAGGACCGTGTTGCTTCTGATCCACCAGCCGACACCCAATTCCTTCAGGATCGACCATTTCGGTTGTCCTTTGGCGTATGACGGAATCAGAGCTAGGAGTTCTTCTTCAGATTCTGAATGGAAAGCCCAGACTAGGTTGTTGGTAGACACTCCTTGTTTCTGGAATTGCGCACGTTGGGCTAGAGGCAAACACTTGATAAGATAGTTGTAATGCTTCATAGCTAGTAGGAATCGTAGTCCGCAGTCGTCGAGGGAGTCCGTGGAGACAGTTTCTCCATCGGGAATTCCCGTGAGGTTCTCTTTGGCGATCGCTGTCTTGGCAGCATCGATGGCGAATCGCTCGGCAAAGTCTACGTTGCAAGTGGAGACTGTGTCAGCTAGAGCGAGAAGGTGCATCTGGTCGAGGGAAGATAGTCCGGGTAGATGAGTATGAGTTAGCAACCGGGACAGGAGTCTTCCTTGACGAGGACCGAAGTGAGAGATTCCCTGACGTTCTGGGACGGAGGCCCTTCTATCTTTCTGACGAGAGCCTTCATAGCTGTCGTCCAACATGTCGTCGAGGGACTCACCCTCGTCCATGTGACCATCAAAGAGCTCATTGTAATCCTGTTTATCCTCATTCTGAATCTGTGCCGCACTGGTTTCTTTATCCGCGATGAGTAGAGTCCATAATGGGAGAGGAGATATCGAAGTGATCTCCGCGTAATCTAGGGTCAATTCCTCAGGGATTTGGGTGGTGGAGCCTGTAGGTTCCAACGGTGATGTCGTCCCAGTATAGCTCACTGACATCGTCCGAGATCTGGTCCAGCCACTCCGTTGTTTCATTAGATTCTCATCATCAGCTCTGACCGAGCATGAACTTGTAATACATCTGACGAGATGCGCGAGGATCGCCTTGACCCATCGGATCTTTCCGGAGTTGAGTAGCTCCATCAGCTGTTTCGGATGGTACTGAGGGAGGACTGGACAAGCTATGCGAGATGCCTCGAAGAGACCGTAATCTGGCATGTAGTCGAAGCTTACTGTATCATTCTGCATCCCTCGTTTCTTCTTAGCGTCCAACATCGTCAAGTTTATGCTACTGACCCTAGACAGATGAGGCATTGAGGAAACATTAGCTAGTCTTCTCTGAGACGTCTCTTGGGCGAGAGTCCTCAGGTCCTCATCACGAAGATTTCTGCTGGCTTGGAATTCGTCAGACTCCTGGTGCTGAAGATTCGAATGGAAACATTCGTTCTTCGGGTTCGGCTTCCATTGCGAGTACACATGCATCTCAGAATCCATCCCCACGACTAGAATACCATCCCTCACCCAGGATATCTGCATGGGGAGTGGTGGGAGGCCGTCAGCAGTCGTCAGTCTGATTTTCCTCAGTTTCATCCACCGAATTTCATCGACAAATTGAGGCTGCGCTAATGATGACATCTTCCTCAGAATTGGACGATTAGTGCTTTGAGACTCTTTCATAGCTTTCATGTTGGCTTGAGCTAGATCTGAACAGACCGGAGTGAACAACATTATCTTTGAGCCGACACCAACTGTCAAGATATGGGAACCATCCTCTTTAGATACCCAGTCAAGTTGGACTAAATGTTTCTGCGTCAGCGGACAAGTGTTTCCATTTTCTATTATAGATTTCCTAAGTGATTGGAGAGTACTGAAGGACGGGACTGCTAGAAGACCAGCGTTCGCCTTAGTTTCTCCATTCTCTCCATTTCGAGGCGACCTGATGTCCTCATGGGAGAGAGTCTGAAGGACTTGAGTCAATCTCTGCTTCTTCTGGAGATATCTGCTATCATAAAGATAACTCAGGTCCAAGTGCTGATCCACCTGAATCCTCGGCAGATGAATATTCTTCAGATGAATCGTGTCTTCCAGAATCCACTCGCTTCCCCCAGTGCTCTCACACTCATAGATAGCCACGCATAAATTCACATACCTCGAGTCAGGATCGTTCTTCCCAGGTCTCGTGAAAGACTTTCCGTATTTGTAAGCACAAGCTATCCTCCCACTGTAAGCAGCACTGATATTCAAAGGCTGCCCCGATATATCAATAGTCGACTCTTGATCCTTTCTGATCATCTCCCACTCCCTCCACTCGTACTGAAGCTGACCATCCTCACCCTTCGTTACCTTGCACTTCCAGAAACGCACTGTACTGTCACTGCAAGCAGTTACAACGATGTATGGCGCAAAGCATGCGGGATAGATCGATGAACTGCTCAGATGGCCAGCAGCCGGTGCGGCATGAACAACTTCAACACCATCAGGTAGACCCAACTCTTGGGTACAGACTTTAGTCGTTTTGATCAAGACGTGACTGTTGTGGTGTCTACGGTGGAGGTAAGTGTGGTCATAATCAGCTTGTGATGATTTTCTGCTTCGTCCGCCAGTCTGACTTGGTCGTCTCGATCTTCTACCATCGGAGTGTCTCCCAGGGGTGCCCTCCTCATCCTCATCCTGAACTAAATGAGAGTCTGGGACGTACATCATAGAACCAGTCAGATCTGTCGTCTCTGGTTGAGAAGCTATCACCAATCTCCACATGTGTACTGTAGTTCCTTTCGCTGTTCTTTCAAGAACAACTATGTAAAAGGGTTCTTCAAATATGGCGGACTGCTGAAGATCGACCATGGCATCCAGGGTGGATTCCATCAGACCTAAATCCTTGGCTGAGCTGTCCACCCCAGTCTGTTTTTCATCATTTCTCTCTCCTGTTATCAATTGCTCTTGAAACACGTGCAGGAACTGGGTATTCTGCCAGTCGTGAGTGGCGTCTGATATAGCGTCCAACTGGATGATGCAGCCCGGACGGGCAGTCGATTGTTGAGACACGATCTTAATTCGGTCGTGTAATGAATGTCGCACGTCATCATCCGAAGATATGTCTGTGGACAAGCTCGCCATCGAGTCCATCATCCTGCTTCTCCTCTCTGATATCGATATTTCTGCTAATAATGTTCTTGCGTCGATCACTGCTTGGTACACTCGGAGGCATTGTCCATCACTTGCGACAAAACAAGCACTTGGCGAATTCGATAGATTCCCAAGAGTTGTTGACGGAAGTAAAGTGGGGATCCAAGCTACATTGCTGAAGGCTGATATCTCGGGGGAGTTTATCCTAGCTAACTCTGAGACTCCGCCACTCTTGGACAGAGGACCAACTGCATCCACTCGCCAGAGTATGAGTTCGCTGCAGAATCCAGTAGCTGACATTATCTCTTTCTTGTAAGCTGAGTCGTTCTGATGGTCCGGGAGGTCTAGGTTCTGGGAGGTTGAGTTCTTTGGGTTGTACTCTGGGATATTGTGATGGGAGGTTGTGACTAGAAGGGGCAGGACGGGGTGACACGTGATATCGTTTACCCGGAAGCGATGGCCCGAAGCCCTGCAGGCGTGACCGATGGACAGCACCTGAGAGAATTTTGTTCTGTCGGCAAAGGTCAGCTGCCAGAGGTTAAGGGTCCCGTTGGAGTGCTTTGAGACCATCGAGACCATGGGACTGGGGTGCGCTAGGAAGTCGTGAACCGTCTCCTGAGTGGATTTAGCTTGTTCTGCCACTGTTCTTGTGCCGTTTTCAATTGGGAAAGTTGAGTTCTGGTCTGCGGAATTCTGCACGCTTTGCAGGAGTTCTTGACCTGCTTTCGAGGTCAGGGTTGACTGGTCCTCGTCCTGTTCGATCAGGCTCGGGAGAGGGGTCGACACCTCGTTGCCCGGATGGTCGTTCGATTTTGTTGAAGATTTGGCAACCTCGCGGATGCTCAAGAGGGGACCGCCGGTATTGTGTGAATACATGGAGACGTTGTGGCTCATTGTGGAAGCATCTCCCAGGGGGAAGGCGTTGGGGATGCGCGTAGAGAAGGAGATCTGAGCCTGACGGAATGAACCAGGGTGGTACTCGTCTAACCACTCGATGTGCCAGATGAGGAAGGATCCGTCTATTGGGTGAATTGAGAAAAGGAGGTCGGGATTGTGGTGCCAATCTCGGAGGAGGGTCTCGATTTTTGTATCGAGCGAGTCGGGCGCGTGGTTTATTGTCGACGTGGCGTCGGTGGCTATTGAGTTGATTGAGGTTGTATTGCTGAAATTTGGAGAATGAATATTTTTTATTTTTAGGTCTTGGCATTTCCACGAAATCAGGATTTGAAAATGGCGCGCGACACTTCATGCCATTAGGAGTGCCAGTGAGGGAGAGACCACAAAAACGAACGCGTAACGTTTGACTAGAGCTTTCTTTTTCCGAACGACGGGTAAATCCCGTGGCAGTCATTTTATTTGGAGTTTAAAAATTGTCTAATGACCATATATTTTGCAGGTAAAAACCCTCTATTGGACGACAATAATCAGAAGAGTTGAAAGAATCAATTTTCAAATTTTCTACTAGCCGATGAATGCAAATCTAAAATGCCGAAGTGTGACCTTGTTTGACGCATAATGAGTGGAGAGAAAGTAGGTACTTCGATTAGGATAGTGTAGATATGAAGATCGCTCAACGTACCAAAATCAGTATGTCATTGTTCAAACATTCATTCTATTTTTTTTTCACTAGCCTGACGGCGTGCTTCCGCTCGCGTCTATGACGTGAGAATAGACAAAGCAGGCGCCGGGCTTCCGAGATATTTGCTGATTTGATATTTTTGTGACATAATTTTTGGGAAATGACGGCATGATGTGTATGAACCTTTTAAATAACGATTTTGGATAAACTTCCAAATTAAGGTGGTTGTCTAGAGATTTTTTGTTTCTGTGATTTTGTAACATTCGATTAGAGCTATCTTTTTCCGAATGACGGGTAAATTTCATGGTAGTAATTTTATTTGCAGTTCAAAGATTTTCAAACTATCGTATATTTTATAGTTAAAGACCCTTCATCGAGCGAAAATACCCAGAAGGGATAAAAGAATCAATTTCGCAATTTCTTACTGGGCTCACGGCGCACCTCTATGACGTGAGAATAGACAGAGGTGACAGGCTTTCGAGATATTTGCGGTTTCGATTCGATATTTGTATGACACAATTTTTGAGAAATGACGACATGACGGATATAAATCTTTTAAATAATGTTTAAAACATTCGTGCACGTCAAAAAAATTCATACACGTTTAAATTTTAATAATTGTTTCTACAATTTTGTCAGTAACAAAACAGGTCTCTTATTTTTGTTCCTGTAATATTCGCCACTGACGAAAGATGACGTCCAAAAACGGTTAAAATTTTGTAGGAAAAAATGATTGAAATCATGCTTTTGTACATATAGGATCTCAATGTCTCAGAATGTAATTTATCCAGTAAAAATAAAGGGTGAATGAAGAATCTGCCTCTTCAGTTTGGAAATTACAGTACCCACCTTAAACTTTGGTGGGAGTGACCACTGTGTGGTAGACTGTGATGAGAAGACCCCGTGTGGGGTGTGTGATGCTCATCACTGCTGTGGTCCTCCTGACTCATTCCACGTCCAACTCCTGATCTCGTGTTGGGCTGATGTCTCGGGGCTTTCTCTGTGGGATGCGCCATACCATAACATGATAAGATGCTGCCTGATGAAGACAATAATACTAGCTAGTCATGCAGTCATGCCTTAGGGATACTAAACTATTTTGTTAACTAATTAATTTATCTCAATTGAAAACAGGATTGTTTTATTTCCTGAATCATGGTTGGTAAATCAGTAAAATTATTATTGAGAAGAATCGCATTTCATAGAAATGTTTTGCGAAGTTGACAAGGTATTCTAGTGGATTTCTATTAAACTTCTATCGGAAAACCTATTAGTACTCTGTGGATTCTATCGAAGAATTCCGCAGCTTTACTGCACGTTTCTTCAATAGAAAGTGTCCAATAGAAACTATTTTTATAGAAAAAAATTTTCTATTAAAATAATTTGTATAAAAATCCGAAATCAATTTTTCTATTTTTTTTCAATTATTTTTCCCTTTGTTCATTAAAAGAATCAAACAAAAAGCTCTTAAAATCAGAGCACAATTCTCCCATCCTATAGAAGAAATCCTGTTGATTTTCACTACAAAATATTTTCTATCGAAAATTTCTATTTAAAAAAATCAAATGAGCAGCAGTTGTTTTCTAATAAAATCGGCCAAAAACTAGAACATTCAACAGAAATCTAATAGAATTTTAAGTGAATTCATTATGTTTTTCTAGGAAATTTTTTGATACATGAACCCTTCGCATTTGATGCTGTTGGTACAATAGAAACCAAATCCTCAATGATTGATTGCCCATTAGTGGAGATTCGAATGAATTAATGAATAAACGACAGTTAATGGAGATGGATGCATTCTCTAAATAATCATACCACATCGTTTGGCTTCACTACGAGGATTATTATCAATAACTGATGATGTATTTCTCGTTAGTAGCTACTTAATGAGTACATTTAAGCTTCCGTATGTCTAACTAATGAATAAATGGCTCTCGTTTGTGCGATTATGAGAATTAATGAACGTACTTGGTGTATGTTCGTCCTCTGAATCATGATCAGCGTGGTCGGAGTCGTGATGCTGAAGGCTCTCCTCTTTCTCCACTACTTTTCTCGTTAGTTCCTAGGCATTTATCCAATCACAAAAAATAAAATTCAATAATGCGTTATTTGATTTCTCCCTGAAAATGAATGCGGGAGATTGTTTTTTTAAATATTTTTTTCGTATTTTTTTTTACCTGGAGAATATTCTCGGCCTGCATCGTGAAATGCATTTCCTTATTGTTCAACCAATGGAGAATGAAATTGGGTTCTCTCTCAGGGTCTCCGGTGACGAGACTCGGTACCAAGGGAATATCTATGATATAAATGTATACTATGTTCGTGAATTATCATTGTTTTCAGAATTAAAAATTCGACAGAAAGAAATAATACGCAAAATTTCGATGACATTTCAATTGCTGACAGTACTATGGTATGAAAAAATAAAAGAAGAGAATAAGAATAGTGAAATAAGAATTGAAAAAAAAAACAATCCATTGGGAAGTCATTAACAAAATGCTTTTTTAGTATATTGTGCATCAAGGGCGGAAAGTCATGTTTTCCCGCCCGAGGTGCACATGCTATTTTTTAATACGCCTGCAAAGAAAAGTTTGTATTTTGCTGTCTGATGAGCGGGAGGAAAGCACGACTTTCCGTGCAGGTGTGTGAAAAAAGATATTTAATAGTCGATTACCAATTGTGATGGCCTATAATTTATAGTATCAATGAGTTCAATTTTTTACGGGTTGAAGCATCGAAAATTCGTTTTCAAAAACTAATAAAATACCTAATATGAAGTATACTTTAGTTTCTTTTTCTTTCCCTCTAAAAAATTACATTCAAATGATATTAAAATTCGCTACGAAAAAGAACTTTTGACGTTCTATATCATTCAATCTTCCACTCCTAGAACGATCCCAAAGTTAATGAGCCGTCAATAAACAATTCAATGATTAATGCAACCTAATATCCCTGATTTATTAAATTTCATCATTTCCTCAAATATCAGAAAAATACTTTAGATAAAACACAAATAAATATAAATTAGATAAATAAAACACAAAATTCCAGGTATACTTTTTTTCATTAGCCCCATAAAAAACTCATGAAAAACGAAACAAACAAAAAATTCCTTTCGATAAAATGGGAACTCTCTCCGAGCCAGTGGATTAACATATCTTTCTCCTCTCATGCAGATTAAAAATCAGGAGAAAGAAAAAACTTAATCCTCCGTAATTTCACATTGAAAAAAAGTTGAACTCACCAGTCTCCGCATTAATACTCGCAGCAAGATGAAAATGCATCCCAGGATAATGTCCAGCCCCCTGATAATTATTGTGAAAATCATGAACAGAGTACGTAGAGGGTAGAGTTGGAAGGGTGGGTGCAGTGTGGCCATTCTGATGCTGTTGCTGTTTAGCATGACGTCGAATGTGAAAACATGTCTTCATGTGCTTGAGCCGCTGCATAAATCGATGCTTATGCATACTGTGGTGTCGATGTTTTCCATGATGACCATGCCTGTCTGAGCCCTCGAACTGGCTCATATTGGCCAGGCCCTCGATTTCGGGGGGTATCGTCTCAGCCCACACTCGACAGATATTGTCACGACACGATGTCACTAGCATGTTCGATACGGATCCCCTAAAAATATAATTATATCATTTTCAAAAACCAATTTGAATATAAAAATCTAGAAATAAAAAAAGAGGTAACAAATGGGAAATTGCTCTTGTCTTTACAAACAACGAATGTTGAAAAAAACAATAATTCCGTGAAAAATGAAATTTTAATGACGCTTAATATTCATGATTTTTTTTTAAATTTTCTCACGCAATTTAATAGACAAATTTGATGATTGAAAATGGTTCAAAATGGTCTATAGTGTGGTCTGTACCAAACCGTAAAAGATACTTAGATATCCTCAATTAATGTGGATGGATAGGGCTCCACAAGGGCAAATGGATTTAAGAGTCAAATGCCCCATAAGAACGTTTGGAGTTAAAGGTCAAGTGATTTTAAGGCTCAAAAGACCCTTAAGAACGTCTAAGGTTAAGGGTCAAATAGTCTCAAAGGTGAAGCGAATTACGGAGTGATTAGAAAGGGTCATTTGACCCTTAATCCTACGCTTTCAAACATCATGTTTCCTTAAGCCATTTTGACCCTCAACTAAAAAAAATCGCTAAATTTTCCCAAACGCCTGTCTAAGGTAATTTAATAGACAAATTGGATAATTGAAAATGGTAGAATCTATAGTGTGGTCTGTACCAAACTGTAAAAGATACTTAGATATCCTTGATTAATGTCGATGGATAGGGCTCCACAAGGGCAGATTGATTTGAGGGTCGATTGCTCCTTAAGAACGTTTTACGTGATTTTAAGGGTCAAACGACCTTTGCGAACGTCTAGGCTTAAGGGTCAAATGGTCTCAAAGGTGGAGTGAATTACGGAGTTATTAGAAAAGGTCATCTGACCCTTAATCCTACGTTTTCAAGTATGATGTTCCCCTAAGACATTTTGACCCTGAAACTCATACGTCCTTAAGTGTCAATTGACCCTCGAGACCATTTGACCCTCAACTAAAAAAAAATCCCTGAATTTTCCCAAACGTCTCTTATAAGTGATTTGACCCTCAAATAATCATGTTCCCCAAAGACATTTTGACCCTCACACCCAAACGTTCTTAAGGGTCAATTGACCCTCAACTTAAAAAATCCCTGAATTTTCCCAAACGTCTCTTATAGGTCATTTGACCCTAAAAACCATTTGCCCCTCAATTAAAAAAATTTCCTGAATAAAATTTCCTCCACTAAATAGTAATTTCTCCTGATGTTTCATTTCGCCCCAGTTTGCCCTACATAATTGATAATTCACTCACTTCGGCATATATTTACTAGTTTTTCTCCAGGACAAGTGTGTCACAGCTCGAGGATGTGCCACGTAAACGAAACCATAGCTGTCATTGGGTATCGACTGCCCAAAGCCGGTCTGATCCATGCTCCTCATTGGAAATACTGGAAATGTTTGAACAGTTGATTCAACATTAATTTATTATCTCTCGAGGTGGTTCTAAAGGATTCAAAATGCTTTGGCGGAGCTTCAGTGGTGCAGTCTCGAGGGTTTCGAGGGCCAGAGGAAATCCAGAATGAAAATAGCACGAGTATGCAATTTTTGTATGCTGCACTGTTGATACCGCTTTGATGTTTTATATGGAATTGAGGATAAAGCGCTGAAAGCTGCTTATTGAATCGGAAATTTCAGGTTGTATTGAGGTATGCAGTCGGCTTTGAATTCATTCAGGAATTATCGAGGAATTTTACATCCGGTGTTCATTATTCAGATGGGCGGTTTGTGTTGGAGAGGATTATTTTTTATTACTGGGAATTTTCATTGTGAACATAACTAAGCAATTAATTTCCATATTCATTCTTGGAGAATCCATTTTTCAATTTGTAGCATATGAAAATCTAAAATTGCAGTTTCGGGTGTTTTATGAATGGAAATTTCATGTATAATTCTATTATTTTTCAACATTTGCAGCTCATGAAATGAGCCTTCATCTGGAAATTTTCGTAAAAAAAAACATGTTATATTAGTAAAAAATTATAAATTGCATGATGAACTTTTCAAAGGAAAATATTTAGAAATCACAACTTCGTTTTTTTAATGCCTTTTTCACTTTTGTAATTTTTTTTTAGTAAAATAATATTTTTATCTCTTCGCCAATCCATCAAACTAGTTTCCATCTCTTGATATTTACGAGAAAAAATTCAATGTTTTATCGTGAAATGAGCAAAATTAGACTTGGATAGTTCTATTATTTTTAATATTTGTAGCTTATGAAATGAACCTTCATCAGGAAATTCTTATGAGAAAAAAAAATGTGATATCAATCAAAAATTATAAATCGCATGATGAACTAGTCGAAGGAAATTATTAAAAAATCACAATTTCGTTTTTTTAAATTCAGTTGTTACTTTTGTATTTTTTTTTAGTAAAATAATACTTTTATCTCTTTTCTAATCCATAAAACTGGTCTCGATTCATTGATTTTTATATGAAAAAAATCAATGTTTTATCAAATAAAAGTCAAGAATTTTATCATGAAAATTTTGAGAAAAATCACTAAGAGATTTGTTTTGACCAATTTGCAAATATCTTGAAAACTAATAGATGTATCCAAAAAAGTCACGAAATCATATTTGTAGCTCTAAAAATTCTCTACAAAAAAGTTTCTTGATGAATTCTCGTAAAACTCTTCATTCCGCAGATAATTCATAAAATAAAATGCAACTAATGTTATTCTCGTATTCACTAAATTCCACTGTAAAATTTTTGTTTTCGGAATGAAAGTCAAGTACTCACATTGTTTGTTCTCAAACCATATCTTAACGAGTCTATCATTGAGTCCCGTAGTAGCAAACAGAGTGCCATCGGGACTGAAGCTCATCAGATGAACCGGCGTGGCCGTTCGACATTTCCAAACGCAATTCCAGCCTCCAGGCTCATTAGCAGAGTTGGAGTCCCCTGGGCCGGGGCTCTCCGCCTCCCCGCCAATGGAAAACGTCACCACCCCAGCTACAATCATCAGAGACAGTAATTAGCGCAGGAATATTGGAAAATTAAGCTCGATAATTGGTGTTTTCAGTGGTCGCAGCGAACAAATGCTTGCACAAATAGATTATGAATCATAAGAATTAATTGTAATAGAAAATCATTTGTTATGATGAGGCGATGGTGAAGCTTCCTGTTTGAAAAAATAATTGTGAAGATGATTGAATTGTAGAGTTGCTTCCAGAGCTGGAGAAAATTGGAAGCTATTCACTTCAAATCTATTTTACAAGCACACAAAAGTCAACAAATTGATAGCCAAATTTCGCGAATATCTGAGGAACTAGTGAGTTTACAGGAAACTCGTGAAACATTTTTTGTAGATCATGAGATTCTCTACAAAAAAGTTCTTTGGCAATTTGCTCTAGCTACACTCATTACTGAGATAATTCGGTAATTGATATTGGTGAGTAGAAATGATGATGTTTTAGATTCTTCAGTTATTTTTCGTAATGACTGCAGGAACCAATGTATTTTAGTGAAAAATCTTAAGACATTTTAATAAATTGTTACGCTTATCAAAAATAGTAATTATCACTTGGCTATAGAAAAATCAAGTTTGATAAAAGTTTTCTCAGCGGTCGCAGCGAACAAATGCACAAATGGATTATGAATCATAACAATTAATTGTAATAGAAAATCATTTGTGATGATGGGGCGATGGTGAAGCTTCCTGTTGGAAAAAATAATTGTGAAGATAATTGAATTGTAGAGTTGCTTCGAGAGCTGGAGAAAATTAGAAGCTATTCACTTTAAATCAGTTTTACAAGCGCACAAAAGTCAACAACTGATAGTCAAATTTTGCGAATATCTCAGAGACTAATGAGTTATTCTTTAGTTGTTTTTCGTAATGATTGTAGGAACCAATGGATTTAACGAAAAATTATGACAATTTTCTGCAAACAACTTGTTACAATTATCAAAGATAGTAATTATCACTTGGCTATAGAAAAATCAAGTTTGATAAAAGTTTTCTCAGCGGTCGCAGCGAACAAATGCTTGCACAAATGGATTATGAATCATAACAATTAACTGTAATAGAAAATCATTTGTGATGATGGGGCGATGGTGAAGCTTCCTGTTAAAAAAAATACTTGTGAAGATGACTAAATCATAGAATTCCTTCGAAAGCTGGAGAAAATGAGAAGCTATTCACTTTAAATCCGTTTACAAATACCCAAAAGTCAACAAATTGATAGCCAAATTCGGCGAATATCTCAGAAGCTAGTGAGTTTACAGGAAAATGTCACAAGACATGTTTTGTAGATCATGAAATTCTCTACAAAAAAGTTTCCTGACAATTTTTTCTAGCTGGACTCATGACAGATATAATTCAATGATTAACAATAGATGAAATAATAAAAATGACATTTCAGGTTCTTCTGTTGATTTTCTTAATTATTGGTAAAACCAATGAATTTAGAGAAAAATATTAAAAACCTTCATTTGTAGCTCATGAATGGATATTGAGAATTGCTAGAACGGTTTTAAATGAGTATTTTTTCATCATTGTCAAACTAATATTAATTAAAAATCGTCAGTGAACAACTTCTCCAAATAAAATGAAAAACAAAAGAAATAACAAGTTATTAGACAATTCACAAAGCAGACAATATCAATCGCCTTAGTCGACATTGTGGTCCTCAAAAATGCCTAGTAGAAATTAATAAATAAGCTCTTGCGAAGTAAATTAACCAGAATAAATCGTGCAAACACCATTTGAAATAAATGTTCATTCTCAATGGGAATGAACTCACGATCTTGGGAGGAGTTTCCTGGTGGATGCTGCTCGGGCACTGGCGCTGGAGTTTCTTCTGTGTGCAGATTTTTCGTCTTTGCTGTACAATTTTTTTTACCATTTTCTTTTACAATTCTTGGAGTTGCAGGAAATTAATTGGGGATTTTTTTTTTGACTTACTGGTCTCTTCCTGGAAAGGTTGGATGTTCTGGTGCCACAGTTGGAGTAGTTCTCCACCAGTGAGCAGACGAGTTCCCTCCAGATTCCATGACAGAGACGTGATATTGGATTCTGTCTGTAAACTCCCGGTTTGAACCCATCTGTACTCCAGTTGCTATTTTTTTGAGGAGTAAAAATTTGGTAAAATGGTTTTAAAAATTTTATCAAGGTGTTGTGTGAGGTAGAATGGACGAGTACAATGGACTCAAACTTCAGTGTTAAGATACTTGAATTTACTTTATTTCTTACTCAAAGTGTAACGGTAAAAATACAAAAGAATTAAGATTAATTCCCAAATGAACTACATTGGTAATGACTCCCGAGTGCAGTGTTCTCGGTTTTTATAAGAAAACCGTGACACACATTTGTCTCTTTTTCGTTGTATTCGTATTACAAAACGATCCCGTGGTGTAATACGATGCTGAATCGGTAAACAATCGATAAACAGTTAATTTCATAATTATTAAACACGAATCACTTCGTAATTCGGTCATGGAATATTCTGGATTACAACATCCCTCCCGGCCAGAGAGAAAAATTCCATATTTGGAATTTTTACATGTACATATTTACATTCAACATTAACTTTTATTTAAATATTCCTAAGACCTATGGGTGAGATGGTGCCTGGGTTCCTCCTGTCAACTCTCGGATTACCGAACCGGTACGTCGGCACCAACAGCACAGTGATAGCACTGTAATGATGAGAAGAAATGTCGTTGCGCTAAAGATAATTGATGCTGGATGTGCGAGGAAGTCTGGGATGCCAAAGACTGTCGTATTTGCATCCAACCGTTTCATTTCTTGTTCCAAGTCCGCCTGTAGTCCTTGCAGCTCCTTGACATTTCGTACCACACTGCGAAGATGGACATCTTTCAGGTTCAGCTGGCCCTCTTTCAGGTAGTTGCTCGTATTCTCGCTCAGAGTCAAGTTCATCTTCGGATGAATATGCAGATCGAGACGTACTCCCGACGACTTTCGTCCTCTGATTGTGAAATCTGCGGCGATAACTTCACATAAGTTATCTATCTGTGAGATTCCCGTCCCTTCTAGGATGCTTCTATTCTCCTTCTGCCCACATCGAACGGTGATCTCCTCTGGATGTGGCGCTGCGTAAAGCCATGCGTTGTCCGAGGTCAGGTGAATGAGGAGTAGACGTTTCAACATGATGTGTTTTACGACACATGAATCTGGAATTTTCGCGGGGTCAACGTACATGTGCACCTCACAGGGACTATACGGCCGTATAGCTTGCGTAGGCAGTATTTCCGTGCACAGGTATTGCCCGTCGAGTCTCTTACAATTCCCCAACTGCTCTGACGTCATTGGAATGAACTGCTGCGTCGGCCCGTGGATAATTAAATACTCGTTTTCTGGTTCGATATATGAGTAATATCCCTCAACCGTTTTCACTGGCAATCCATGCGGTTTATATACGCTGTAGATTTGAGAGTTTACCAGCTGTATTTCCAACATCGTCACGATTCTCATGTCGAAAGTGTGAATACTGATGGTGGAAATTCTCTCCAACTTGTGCATAGCGTTAATACCAACTTCTGTCGGAAAGCTGAATCCTGTTGGCAATTTAGCTTTCTTCAGAATCTCTACCAGATGTTGCTCTGAGAGAACTCCTGTTCCCAGGATCCTTCCCCTTTCGTCTGTTAGAAGGCGCAGAATTTTTCTTGCGTCTCTCATCACTCCATCAAGTACTGCTGTGATGCCCATGAAATGTTCGTCCATGTCGTCACGAACCAACGTTGTGTTGAATCTCGCCTCCATGCGTTCTGACAGCTGCTGTGTCGCGTTCAATAGAATTTCTTCATTTTTCTGCACGATTTCCTCTGTGTGTTGCAGTCGGAAAAGCGTAGAATTGATGACTTCGATTTGACCTTTCGTGACGTCATATGAGTTCCCTTGTTGACCCTCAAGACGATCAAGCCGTTCTTGAATTTCTTTCGCATCTGAGGCGTCCATTGTGCCAAACAGTGATTTTGCCACACTGCCCAATCCATCAATTAAGCCTCGGCGACTTTTGCCAGGTTGTCCTATATCTAGAATCCGGTGAATCGCCTTTCTCAGCTCCGTGTGTTCACTTATACGTTTTTCAAGATCGTTCGGAAATTCTCCCCTGATTTCCCGGCCTTTAAGAATAGCGCCTGCGTCAATATGTAGTGACTTTCCAGTTGATCTGCTTTCCGTAGCCAAGAAGTCACATCCGTCGTCGCTGCGACGGTCCAGGCGTGATTGCTAAGGAACAATCTACCAATCGATTCAAAATGCAGGCCTGGAGTGTGAACGAACTTATCGACAGTATGCCCCTCCCCTCTTATAACTGGGATCATGCCGGCTAGCATGATTAATGTAAAGGCAACTGCTAACAACCCGTAACTCTTGGATTCTCCTTTACATTCCTGCTCCTCCTCCTGAGCCATTCGGCTTTCTCCAAAATTTTCAGGTTGTTCATCAGATACACACGTGATCAACCCAATAAAGGCTCTTAATCGATTGACGTGTACCATCACTTCTTTGTTCTTCTTCCCGGAACGAATGGTGTAGTTTACATCCGAATTTTTCTGAGTAATTTCATAAGGTCCAAGCCATGGCTGCGTCAGTTTTTT